AGGAACGGCATGGGTACAAGTGCAGTCGGGTGCGGTCGGGTACGGTTAAGAGCGGTGGATTATGTTCGAGTGCGGCTGGAGGGGCCGAGTGTGGTGGAGTGTGATCGTGAGCGGCTAGGAGGGGTCGGGTGCGGTGGAGTGCGGTCGAGAGCGGATATGAGGGGTCGGGTGTGGTGGAGTGCGGTCGGGTGCAGCTAGGAGGGGCCATGAGCGGTAGAGTGCGGTCCGGAGCGGCTAAGAGGGGTCGGGTGTGGTGGAGTGCGGTCGGGTGCGGCTAGTAGGGGTCGGGTGCGTGGAAGTGCGGTCGAGAGTGGCTAGGAGGGGTCTAGTGCAGTGGAGCAAGGCCGGGTGCGGCTAGGAGGGGCCGTGAGCGGTGGGTTGCGGTTGGGAGCGGTCGGGTGCGGTGGGATGGGGTCGGGTGCGGCTAGAAGCGGGGGCGGTGGTCTAAGGGGCGCGGCGGGAGCGGGGTGCGTGCGGGGCCGCGGGGCCTACTAGCGGAGGCCGCAGGGCCTTCTAGCGTGGTCCGCGGGGCCTGCTATCTGGGGGTCGTGGGGCCGTCGATCAGGGGGCCACGGGGACTGCTATCTGGGGGCCGTGTGGCCTTCTGGAGGGGGCGGGGGGGTGGGGTGTGGGGGGTGGGGGTGGGAGCGGGGCCTTCTATCGGGGGGCCGTCGAGCCGTCGCGTAGGGGGCCGCGGGGCCTTCTATCTGGGGGCCGTGGGGCCTTCTGACGGGGGGCCGCGGGGCCTTCTAACGGGGGTCGCTGGGCCTGTTATCTGGGGGTCGCGAGGCCGTCTGACGCGGGGCCTTCGGACGAACGGGGCGCGGGGTGCTGACGGGGTGCGAGCGGGCCACGGGGTGCTGACGTGTCACGTGCGGGGTGCAGGACGACGGGCTACGGCCGGCTAGCGGGCTACGGGACGACGAACGATGACGGCCTACGGGGTGCGGGGCACGAGCGGGTACGGGGTGCGAGGCGTACGAGGATACGGGGCGTGGGGCGACGAGCCAAGCGATACGGGCGCGAGGCGGTGGGCCCATGGGATCGCAAATCCTACTCTAATTACCATGTCGAGAGAAATGTATGCATGGATTGAAAGAAAAGGACACACAAGTACCGTAATCTCCCGGCAATAAGCCCCCCCGCGTAGAGGTCCCCGGGTCTTCTTTCCGGACACGGGTTTTGTATTCCACCTGATCTCGTGAGGACCCGTCTTTTTCCAATTTAATTTAGAAGACCCTGCAGAGACAACTTAATCAACGAGAGCTAGACTACGGGTTAGGCACGGGGTGGGAGTGGTCTCTGCGTTCCTTAGTCGCTTCCTGAGGTGCACACTGCTTGCTAGTTCAAGGGGAGAATTTGCAAGAGTTTCACTAGGAAAACATGACAACAATGGTACAATAAATTTGGCAAGGCAAGACTATATCAGAGCTAGCATGCAAGCAGGACGACTGCCAGCGCAACACGGTCGACCGCGTTCCAGCACGACTTGGTCGACCGCGCTCCAGCAGTGCAAAGTCGCGGCCCGCCAACAATGTTAGTCGACGGCGTGCCAACGCTGCAGCAAGTCGGCTGCACAGCGTTGCACCCACAGGACAGCATCGCACCCGCTTCGCAGGTGCTCGCAGATGACTGGCGGGTTGTGTCTTGTCAACTGCACAGTGCACACACCAAATCATTCTCGTGCTGACGACTGCATCTGATCAGCCACGTCGACCTCGGGATACCACCACCGAGGTCGGTCTCGCCAATACCACCTGGGCGACCGTCGCACTCCTCCACAGTACCTCGTCACCCAGGTAACCTGGTCGACCGGGCAACCACGTCGACCAGCTGCTCCTTCACGTGGTCATCGACCACCCAAGTCGACTACCACCTCTAGTCGACCTCACCAGGTCGACAACACCCTTGGTCGACCACCTCCAGGTCGACGTCCCTCCTGGTCGACGAGCTCCAGGTCAACCAGCACACCTCGTGTCAGCCGATCACACCAAGTCGGCTGCTCCAAGTCGGCGTCACCACAGGTCGACCGCCCAAGTCGACCTCCCGAAGTCGGCGCCCTCCAAAGTTGGCACCCTTGCAGTGGTCCACGTGTAGGTCGACCAGCCTCGTCGACCAGCTCGCCCACTGCTGCAGGTCGGTTGCGCCCCTCACACCCGGCCACGAAGTCGGCTCCGCCCAAGCGAGGACGGGGCCTACCACAACTCCCGTTGACAGACCCTCCCCCTCACAAGAAAATGAATTTGACTAATATTTTTTTACCTAACTGGCAGAATTTGTTACTCTACAATTATACAACATGAAATTAGCATTACTATTCGCATGCGACTCTATGTTAGATGTCATGCTAGCCATTCCTAAGATACCTGCCTACACTACTTCTGGCACTACTCCTCATCGTCAGTGTCCATGGCGCCACTCTCCTCGTCCTCGTGGGCGGCAGTCGCGTAGAGTGGGTTGACCCACACCTCCGTTTCTCTAGTGGCGTGCACATCGTCATGCACCACCGCATCACGCATGTGCGCCAGGATGAGGTGGTCTTTCGTGCCGTTGGGATTGTTGCTAATCCCGCATTTCTTGAACGAGCGTTCGATTGTCCCTGCCGGGACGCCTTCCAAGGCTTCGGCCATCGCTAGAGTGCTGTAGGGTGGGGGGTGCTGACAGTCCGCGGATACGTAAAGCACGCGTACGTACCAGCCGGCGTGAAGGCGTCGATGCCGACTGCAGCGAACCACGTGTTGTAGAGTTCGCGCACTCGTGCCTTAAACGTGCGATTGATGGCGACATCCAACGGCTGCAAAAGAGGCGTGCAGCCCCCCGGGATGATCGCGGGGACGATCTTCTGCCACTTCAGGGTTGTCAGCACCCCCCCGTCAGGTGCCCGCGATAACTGTCTAAGACCAGCAAGGTCTTGCCACAGTCCGTGCCGGTGCGGAGCTTGGTGTGGGGAAGCAGGACATGCTGCACCCGGTCCATGACGAGGGTTGAGTCCATCCAGCCACGTTCTTGGGCGCAGGAACATGCCTGCACAGATAGGGGGTGTGTTAGTCTACACACGGGTTAAACCTACGGTAGAAGACGTTCAAACGCAGGGTTACCTGGAGACGCTCGAATCTTCGGGATGGTCTTTTGGTTGAAGATCACCATCGGCGGGAGTTTGAGACCATACGCAGTCACACTCAGCATCACCGTCATCCGCTCCTTTTCGTAGCCGGCACTGCGGATTTGGACGGACCGGTCCCCACGGTGGTGAAGGGTGCGCTCGTACAGCATCTCGAGGAAGACTGGAGTCTGGTCCACGTTGACCATGTTCCAGTCGTCCATGCTGTGCTGCACGACTTGCTTGCGCACAAACTTCCAGAAGCTCTCGCTCCTTTTCTTGCAGTCTGCGCAGGCACGAGGCAAACGTGGCGGTTAGTAAGATCCTACATTAAATTATTTCAAATCTTTAAAATATAAACGCGGGTCTTGCCTTTGGTTAGCCGTTGGCCTATCTTTGTCTTTACTCGAATGGTGAGAGCCCACCTACGTCGGAAGCGCTGCGTTTAGTGGGCAGAGGCGCGCCAGTCTACCTCGGGGTGGCGACTCTTCATCGAAGCCCGGCTCCACATCTGCAACAGCTTTACCGGGACACCGACAGCTCCATGTCGGGGTTTTTTGCCATCCGCCCGCCACCACACAGTCGACGTAGCGATCCGGACGCCTTGTTGATCTGGTCAGACGCCTTCCTCGCGTCGAATGCTGACCGGTTCGACGCCTGCCATGCGCGCCGTTTTGCGGACCGGCAGCTTCTCGTCAGTCATCCGCTGCAGCCGGCACTTCTTCTCTTACGTCGTCCGCGACGACCACTTGTGCTTCGTGATCCTGCCTCGGGAGTCGGGAGCCGTAGCATCACAGGCAGTTACAGAAGGTTCGTCGTCACGAAGGACGTCATGAGGGAACAGTGGCAACGGGTACGACGGAACAGCCTCATCGTCGTCGGCAACGCTTCGACGTCATCATTAACGCCGGCGTTGTCAGCTTCTGACGTCTCGCCGGCATCTGTTGGGAGAGGGAAGGCATCCTCTTCGTTGACAGGTTCGAATAGATACGGAAGGCGGGGGGTGGGGGGGGGGGTGGAGGGGAGGGGGGGGGTCACCGCCGAACCTGGTGGCGACGGTGGCGTTGGTGGTGCAGGCGGTGTCGGAGGAGCCGGAGGTGCCGGCGGAGCTGGAGGAGCAGGAGGAGAAGGAGGTGCCGGAGGTGCCGGGGGAGCCGTAGGAGCGGGAGGAGACGGAGGAGTCGGGGGTGCCGGGGGAGCCGGAGGAGCAGGAGGACACGGAGGAGCAGGAGGGAGCGGCGGAAAGTTGGCGAGGGAAGCGATAGCACGGGCCGCATTAATGGCCTTCATTTTCACGAGCATCTCCAGGGCCGACATGGTTCTTGCTAGAACAGGCTCTCGAAAGGAGAAGAGGGGAAGGCCCCATGGCTGAGAGGAAGCGGGGGAGAACGGGATGAAATGCTAGCCGAAAACGCAAGATTGCCTTTCTCACTTTCTTATCCTTTCCAGCCCAGTTATGTGCCTTCTTCGTGTCCCCAAACCCTCACCTCCTCTTCCCCATTTTCCCCACTTACCGGCTTCCCCATCCTTTTTTTTGCCTCACCCACTTTCCCTTCTCCACAACTTCGCTATGCATTGCTTTCCCATTTCATGCTCTAGTTCCACCCCTCCTTTCCACATGTTCTCATTTCCACATTTTATTGCTTCCTTGCTTCCCCACTTCATCTCCCCGTTGCCCACTACTCTACACTGAGCTTACATGCTTTTCCACTCCCTCCCGTACTCTCTCTCCTAGCACCCTCACTGCCTCCTGCACACCCACGGTGACAATGCTGAAGGTTGGCATATGCATATATTTGCAAGTAATGCAGTCGCTATCAACCACCAGTATATGCCATTTGCAATGGTTCTGTTTCACCACACCACTGTGATGTGTATTCTGCACCGCCACTGAATCGTTTCACTCTATGAAGTCCTGAACACTCATGCTGTTGCCTCCACCGAGCACATCAAATACAGGGTGGTGCACCTGCTGCTGCTGCTGCTGCTGCTGCTCGTGGTGTGGCAATGAACCGTCACTGCTACTGCTTCTCTGACAGCGTCTTGCAAGGGCCAAAACAGTGTCTACCGGTGACGGCATAACCAGCAGCTGCGGCTTATCTGCCTGCCCCCGGTGTTCAGCCTCCCGCTGTTCTGTTGACGGTGCAGCATCTGCAGCCACACACGGCCCTGCTGGTAGCAATTGCTGCTCGGCTACGTTGATACGCCTGGAGGGGAGCGAGATGCGGAGATCCCAACTGTTCACACTCGGCAGGACGAGAGGAGAGGCGAGCGGAGGGCCATGTGGAGGGGTGTGCGCAGAGGTGTGCAGAGGGGTTTGCAGAGGGACGTGCAGAGAGGTGTGCAGAGGAATGTGTGGATGGGCGTGCAGAGAGGTGTGCAGAGGAATGTGTGGATGGGCGTCCAGAGAGGTGTGCAGAGGAATGTGTGGATGGGCGTCCAGAGATGTCTGTGAATGGACGTGCAGAGAGGTGTGCAGAGGGGTGTGTGGATGGATGTGAAGAGAGGTGTGCAGAGGGGTGTGTGGATGGATGTGAAGAGAGGTGTGCAGAGGGGTGACCATAGAAGGGTGTGGAAGGGCGCCCGCAGGTGCACGCAGAGGAGGACTTGCAGAGGTGTGCGGAGGGGTGTGTGACGGGTCATGTGAAGCAGCCTCCTCCTCAGTATCACTCAAGTCATGTGAAGCAGCCTCCTCCTGGGCCTCGGCAAGAATCTTCGCGAGCCTTGGAGGAAGTGTCCTGGCTTTGCCCAGCTTTATGGCCGCTGCTTCTGTTGCTTCTGTGCCTGCTGTTGCTGCTGCTGCTGCTGCCGCCTTCTCAACCCGCGCTGCTTGCCGCTTGTGTCGGCGTGGGGGAGGCCCCCGCTCCTGGTGGTTGTGGTCATGGTGGTAAACTGTGAAGACTGTAATCCCCTGGCAGGTTGAGACTGAGTGGCGGACTGTGTCTGGGCGGCAGACTGGGTCTGAGTGGCAGACTGGAGTGCTGCTGGCGGTGTCGGCTGGTAATGGTCTTTCAGCAGATGCTACTATAGCGTCGAGCGTTCCGCTGCAGTTGTCGAACCCATCGACTTTGGTGGATGGGAGGTGGGCACTGCTAGTGGTGCGGCTTGTATTAGTGTGTGCAGGGCCGTAGTTGACGGTTTTCCTGGCAGGGCAGGCGTTTGGGCTCTTGTACCAGGCGCATCTGTAGTAGCACCTGCATGTGAGGATGAAGGAATAGAGGAACACGTGAGCGGGGTAGTGGAACGTGAGGTGGAATTACCTCAGGCGTGAGGGATCCTAGAACATGATGCACACCTTTGTTCTAGCACCTGCGTTAGGGGGTAGGGATAAGAGAAACATGTGAGAGAGGAAGGAAATCTGGAAACGTTCAGGCTTCAGATATCTTGAACCAAGTGCACCTGTTTTCCTAGCACAAATGTGTAAGGGGATAAAGAGATCATAAAATAATGTGAGAGGGGAATGGAATGTCCGAATGAGGAGTGGTGCCTCAGGGATTGTGGACCAAGCGCACTTCTCTCCTCGAAGAGGAGCAACTCAGAATGGAATGTGGGAAGCAACTCAGGCTTCAATATCTTGACCAAACGCAACATTCTCCTAGCACCAACGTGAGAGAGGGGGGGAAACTGATGTGGGAGGGAAATAACATGTGAATGAGGAGTTGAACTCAGGCTTCAAGGATCTGGGACCAGGCGCACCTGCTGTTCTATAACCGGCCCGGCTTAGGGTTTGAAGGAAATGATGTGAGAATGAGGAATGCGGCGTCAGGCTCTAGGTTAGACCTAGGCTCCCTGGCAGGTTCAGAGGACACTTGGGATGGTTTCTTATTCAGGATCACATTGGAGAAACGTGGAAAGGAATGCTGCCTCAGGCCGGGTACGTGCACAGGTACCCAGGGATGGAAGATAGTATCATATGTTTTACATCTTCCCAAATGAGAATCTGAAAAGAAAAAAAAAAAAAAAGACATTGTTGGATGTTTTCTCAAATAAACGAGCTTCAGTTTTGGTGATTTGTACCTACCTGTTGAGAAAACAAGAACATATAAATATTTTTCTCAAAATTGCGGGAGACGGTAATAAGAATTTGAAGTGAGAAGCTTCTTGGAGGCTTTTTCCCCAAACAAGTAACAGGCTGAGGTCTTTTAGAGAAAGCTTCCGCACCTGACGTGGTTCCCGATGTCTTTCATGCCGTACTTGAGCCACTTGTGGCCGTCTCCGTTCACGGCTGCTGCCGGCAGCCTGCTATCTGTGCTGGCTACAGATGTGACGTGATGGTTGGCGGCCATGGCGCTGACAGAGCTCATATCTGCTGCAGCAACGTCAGGTTCCGGCTGAACGCTTGAGTCCATTACTACTTCTAAGTTGCACATCGTGGAAAATGTTGGCGCTCAAAGAAACTGTGAAAGAAGCAGGATCTGGGTATGGAATGGTTGGTGTCTTGCAGGATGAGCAGAAGGAATGTATGAGACAACAGAATGCTGGTTCGAAGTGGGAAATGATCAATTTATTGGATGGATTTGCTGTCAAAATGATGGATGCTTGTTGAAGCGATGCAGGAATGCGAGGCAAGCGAACTGTTACCCTACCGAATCAGCAGTTGGTTTTTGCAATATCGCAATCTTCTCGTGACTGTTTGTTCGCCGTTGTGGACTCTGGTGTTGCCTCGTGCGCAAGCGTGGGCCCTCATTCTGAATGTGTTGTCATGGCGTGAAGACGTTACAGTGGTTGTGGCACTGACTGGGGCGGCACCTTGCGACGGATTCTATTTCCGAGCTGGCGCCAGCTTGTGGAAGCCTGCGAAGCCGTCCTTCACCCCGCGAAGTTCTCTTGTCTCTCGTGGTCTGTTACCAGCCTAACAAAACCCCCTCTGTCTCTCGTGGTCCACAGCACAGGCACAAAAAAAGCCACTTGATTACAGCACGCCTTGTTACTTGGAAACCATGTCATTTCTTTGTTACTGTTCTAGGTGTTATACCGAACTTGGATGTGGTCCAAAACGAGCAGAAGTGTGCTTCACTAGGGGATATTCTGGATTCGGCATTTAGCGGGATGTCGGGTTTGTTCTAAGACTACTCCTCATTAGCGAGGGACTGTATAACACCCAGTCACCATTGAAATCAGACCCAGAATAGATGTACATCGGGGTGTAGAACGGGTCGGTGTGTTTCGGACTCCTCGTACGAGTGGAAATAGGATCGCAACGGAAAAATCGACTTGCACGGGCGGCTAGTGATGTTTATGTAGGCGTTTTGCGACTTTGTGAGAGATCATCATTCTACCCCCTAGCGTGTGGATGTCTTAAAAAGGTCGACAGTTTTTCATGGGTTCCCTCTGAAAAACGTTCGAGGACCTGGACTTTTCAGTGACCAGAGTTTGGATGGAAGATCTTTGGCTCCAACCCAGCTTGTGACTCCAAAACATTGATGGTTTCTCCCCGACACCCCTAGGACTCTTTGTCCCATAGCGGAAATTGGAGCCACGTTGTCACCCAAGCACAAAAAAAGTCGTTTCACCCTTGTCGTTTGGCGGTACTGGTGTCCACATCGGGTCCGAGCACGATGGCCCAAAATCGAATCATGCGATTGCCCGTAACGGAAGGGAGGTGTTCGGTCAATACTGCAGTTTATTTTCATTAAAGGAACCCCAACTTCTGCTTACTATTAGTCACCATTATGGTCCCAGAGTATCACAATTATTCATGAATATTGGTCCTGGAGTACCACAATTAGTCATGAATATAGTTTGTGACTCTTTATTTCCGGACATGTAACTCCCCATTTCGTCAACGAGACGTTAGGTGCATAATAGCAACACACCATATGGTTTAGTGCATACATTATATACCCGAAGAAGCTCACTTGTGCAATATACAACGCAGAAAGACACCATCTTAGTTGAAGCACTAAATGGAGAGGGTACACGCCTCAAGAAAAGTAATGGTGCACTCCAAAGAATCTAGAATCACTGCTTCTTGCAGCACAGCACCAGCCGTGCCCATGCTGCTGCCACTAACAGAGGCACCGTTACTGTCACAATTGGGTGCTCTGGAAACAACTGCACAAGAGCTTGATGCTTCTGCTGCTTCCTCTGCTACTGCTACTTCTGCTGCATCGGCACATGCAGAGTCCGAACCTGTGGTTATGCTCGGGAATGGTCCCATGGACTGGCACGGTGGCAGCACAGCCAGCAGCTCAGCCTTGGAAAAAATGCCGGTGCAGACGCCGATAGGTTTGGCACCGCCGAACCTGGCAGCTATGATGTCGTTGGGCTGGAAGAAGAGAGAGGAACAAGAGTATACGAGGAGTGAAGAGGAGGAGGGAAACGTGGACATTTTGAGTCGAGTCAAAAGTCTGGTGGTGCAAACGTTAAGGAATTACACTGACAGCAGGGGGTGGGAGGAGAGGCAATAGCTGTACTAAATTTCCCGTGTCCTGCACACGAGCATTGCCTCATGCAAAACCCGCCATGTCCCAAACATGCCATGCCAACTAGCGCATGTTGCTTCATCCATATCTCACCGTGTCGCCAACATGTGCATGCAGCCGAAAGGGCGGCCCAGCAATTCTCTCCTCTGCTCGCTGCCTCGCTATCCGAACCAGCTCTCCCCGATCCATGTGGTCACTGCCGAACCTAAAAAGGGGGGTAAAGGGGTTGTTAGAATGTGTGGAGACAGGTGAATGGGGAATCTGTTGTAGCTCTCCCCGATCCATGTGGTGCCGAACCTGGGTAGGTATGGGATATACGCAAAGGTAGCACGTGCGAAGACAGGTGGATTGGGGAAGCCATTGCATCTATTTCTAATGCGATTGTGGGGGGAGGCATACAAGCACCACCTCTGCGTCAGCATGGCTGCTGTGATGAGCCGGTGCAAAAGCTTTTTTATGCTACACTATACCAGGCTGCCAGGGCAGGAGTCAGGCGCCTCATTACCCATCCTCACCATCCTATGCTCCCATCTTGAGCCATGCTACGCGCTCCAGATTGAGCCGTGCGAAGAAGGGGGGAAGCCATTGCAGCTAAGTCTAATGCAGTTGTGGAGGGGAGCAAGCTATACCAAGCTACCAGGGCAGGCGTCAGGCAGGGGCCTCATAGCGCATGCTCACCCTCCTATGCGCGGGGTTGTGAAGAGCGAATCCACCTCCAGCCCTGCCATCTTGAGCCATGCCACGGGCTCCAGATTGCCCGTCACCTGCCCACGTGCGTGAAGCAAACAGAATACACTTTCATCTTCTTAACACCAGTTACTGGCACCCAAGAGGTGCTCTCCAGTTCTGCCATCTTGAGCCATGCTATCTGGTCCAGGTTGCCTGTCACCTGCCATTCCATATCATGTCATGCCATGCCATGCCATGCCATGCCATGCCGTGCCGTGCCATGCCCGCCATATCATGCCATGCCATGCCATGCCCCACCATTCACGCCATGCCAAGCAATCCCACCCACATCAGGTTTTACAAGCAAGCAAACACCCGACACTATGTTGAACGACCAAGCAAGCAAGCAATGAGACAAGAATGGTGAGCTCAGGACAAAAGAAACAGGCATTGACCAGTCCCACCAACTCACTGAACCGCCTCTCACCAATCCCAACACCAGACTGAACCGAACTCCGACCAGCCCCACCACCGCACTGAGCCCTCTCTCACCAATCCCAACAGCGCACGTCCCACCACCGCACTGAACCGCACTCTCACCAGTCCCACCACCACACGGGGCTGCATGTTTGAGAGCTCTTCCAATAGCGCGCGGACACCTGGCAGCAGCGCAATGCCGTCCGCTGCATCCCCTGCGTGCTCTTGACAGTACTGCAGCATGGCTTCACACAGCACTGGCAGCTGCGGCTCGCTGATCTGCGGGTGATGTAGAGGGCAAAAGCAGGGGGGAAGGGAGGTGGAATCTTGCAGTCGTGCTCTTGACAGAACTGCAGCATGGCTTCACATAACGCTGGCAGTTGGGGCTCACTGATCTGAGGGTGATGTAGTGGGCAACAGCAGGGGGCAAGGAGGTAGACTCTAGCAGCCGTGCTCTTGACAGTACTGCGGCATGGTGGTGAACAGCACTGGCAGCTGGGGCTCGCTGATCTCCGGGTGATGTGGTGATGATGAGGGGCAAGGAGCGGGAAACAATGGGACGCACACTTAAAGAAATGCAGCACAGAGCAAGGAGCACCGGCCACTAGATCCCCCCCATGCTGCTGGCAGCACTACAGCATGGCTTCACATAACGCTGGGAGCTGGGTGACTCGCTGATCTGCGGGTGACAGGGAGGGGGGAACCAGGGCATGAACGCGGCTTGTGACTACAAACTCTGAGCCATGGCCTCTGTGGGACTAGTTTTCAGCATTATAGTGTTTGTTCTCTATGTCAGCCACATTTGGGATCCTACTAGAACATCTGATATTTTTTTTTGGTTCAAAAAGGTCTAACAAAAAAACGGCCGAATTCAAGAAACAAAAACAAAAAAACACGTTCAAAACGAGTGTATTAAACGAAGCGGTTTTTTACTCCTGCCGAAATGATCCTTGCCCCCACCCCATCCCCCCCACTCGCACTCCTCCCCCTCCCCGTCCCCCTCACAACGTGTCACACTCACGTGTCTGGGAATGCCGTAGAACTCGAGTGTACTGCTTGCCTGGTCCGTGCTGCTGAGAGGAACACCATCCAGAGCGCAATGCACAGTGCACGCGCTCCTTTGGAAGTCTCAACAAGAGCCTACATAGAACGAGCAGAGCAGAAGGCGCACTCACGTGTCTGGGGATGCCGTAGAACTCGAGCGTGTTAATCAGCACTGCCTGGTCCTTTTGAGTCGACTCAAAAGTCACCGTTGATATGATGTGAGCAGCACTATCCAGGGCGCAATGCGGCGAGCAGAGCACAAGGCGCACTCACGTGTCTGGGAATGCCGTAGAACTCGAGCGTGTTAATCAGCACTGCCTGGTCCGTGCTGCCGTGGTGCTGCCGGGGGGAGGGGGAAGGGTTCAAGGGATATGGGGGTGAAGATTGGAAGGGGGAAAGGAGAGATTGAGAAGGGAAACCGTGGTGCTGAAGGGGAAAAGTAGGGTGGGGATCGAGGGAAGTAGGGAGTGAGGAAAAGTTAGAGTCTGGGACGGAGGGGGTAGGGGAAGGGGAGTGCGGGAAACGGGGAAATTGGGGAACGGTACATTTTGGGACCTAATTGCGTCGACGGTGCATTGATCATGCCTGATTCGCGTCGGATCGCACCTGTATTGAGACGAATTGTACCTGAATTGCGTCTATGGTGCCTTGGATGCCGAACACCTTCTTCATTGCATGCGCGAACGCGCGTTTATGGAGCTTATTGGACTCAGAGCCGACGGAGTGGATCAGCGTGCCGTCCACGTCGAACGTGATCAGCACCCGTCCATCAGCGGATTCTGCCACGTCAGCCGTCTGCGCCACGTCAGCGCTCATGGTTATCTGATTGCAGAAGCGCGGCAAGCGGCGAACGAGCAGGCCGCGTGGTCGATTGCACTGCGACAGGACGTTGCGAGAGGCAACGAAATTCGCGGAACGGGATCCGCGGAGATTCTGCGAGAACGGGGCTCTACGACCGATGGGAATGGCACAGCGAGCAGGCGTGATTGGGTAATGATTGCGAAGCGACAGGCTGACTGGATCAAAACGCATTGAGGCTGTCGCAGCGGCGAGGCGACCCGGCTAGGAGCGTTGATGAATGAAAGAATGCTGGTGCAGGGTCGACTGGTATGAAATAGTGGAACCACTTCAAGTGGAGCACAAAATTCACCTAAGGGCGACGTCAGGTTGTACAACTTTTTGTACGCCCACTACGGTTAACTTCGTTTCAACACGGTGCAAAGCGGTAAACTTCAAGAACCGCTTTCCACCATTTTGGACCGTCTTGAACCACGATACAAGAACTGTAAACCCACGAGAAATGTATAACCTGACGTCGCCCTAATAAACACCAGCGCTGGTGTTCCTGGAGTTCGGTTTCCGTAGGTTGAGTTCGGTATCGTAGCTAAGCTTGCGTTCTGAAATGGTACTTCTTGAGACTGCCGAGGGCCCTCAAACCCTTTGAGAACTGCCTCGGTACACTGCAAGTCTATGCATTTCCGTAAGTGTAGCTGTTGGGGAAATCTCAATGAGGTGAAATCAAGGCCCCACAGAGAAATGTGGTTCTCGGAAACTCTCGTTGAGGTGTGGGCTGGTTACTGAAGTTTCATGAACACGAGGGGGAGAGAAAGTGTGTGGGGGTGGGTGGGAGTGGGTAGGGGTAGGTAGGGGTGGTTCGGGGTGGGAAAAATGTCAGTCAGTCCAGCCGACCAACGAGACGTTATCCGTTTATTTCTGTTCCGATTTCCGTTTCTAGACGGAGTCACACTCACACACACACTCCCCCATTCCTCACATCCCCCATCACGACCATCTATCCAACCTCACACAAACATCATACCTCCTCTTCCGTCGTGTCGACTGTGCCGAACGCGACTCCGCGACTCGCTCTCCTCTTCTGACAGGTAGCACTGTTCATGGCGACGCGGCGGATGTCTTATTCTCTCGACTCTCTACACAGCCGACTCTTTTCCTCGAACTGCACCTGCTAAGTAGGCTCTGGAAGCAAGTTACGCGTGGGCTTGAGCGTATACTCGCCGCTAAATAGGGATAAAGCATGATTGGCGGTATTCGCTGGTTCGCTGGAGCACCAGTTCCGAAATAAGCGGTGCGCAGAACAAGCGTTCCCTAATGTACTGCAGGTTTCATGGCCATAGGATAAGGTATTTCGGTCATACGGTTGTTCGCTCAGCAAGTCTCTAGGTCGCCGAACTCTCGCATCTTGTGAGTAACAGACGGTGGCGAATCCGTGTTGGTATCTCAAAGTGCCTGGTTCGTGTTTCGCTATAAGCTCTCGTCTCGTCGCTCATTCGCGTGTGTATAAGCATTCGCCAGAAGAGATACAGAGATACAGATTCGGTCCGCATCAGCTATAGAATATGTCGTACCCGGGCCGCCATACCTCAGATCGAGGCGAATCGGCAGGCGGTCCGTCGGACGCGCACAGCAGCAGCTGGTCCAATGGCGCGGGATCCGCTCTGCTGCCACGGGTACGGACACGTGGCAGTCCGGCGCCGGCTGCAGCACCAGGCAAATCCTTATCCGCGAACGACCACGTGGCTGCACTCCCATCGTCCCCCGGAGCAGATCCCCCCTATCAAAGCACCGACGCCGCATACAAGAAAACAGATTCGAATGCTCCGCCGACTGATCTCCCCGCTAGGAATGGCGCTGACCAACCCACTCGCGCTCACACCATGAACGACGCTCTTACCTCCTCTGCTTCTGCTCTCCCCTCCTCTACCCTATCCTCCTCTGTTCTCGCATCGTCCGCGATTCACGTGCATGCCGTCCAATCCGCGCCAGGCAGCCTCCCCGTGGAATCCGGAAAATCCGGGAAGCCACGTAGGCCCATTCCGGGGCAGATGACGCCTCTCGCGGCGCTCCTCGGATCGCCGCAAACCGCGGGGATCGCGCTCTCGGGTCCCGACGCGTCGCCTCCCCCCATGCTGCTCCCCTCCCCGCCCGTTTCCCCCGTCGGGAACAGCTGCGCGGGGGACGGGGAAGCCTCCGCGTTTCTCCCCGCCGACTCCGCCGCCTCCGCGCCGGGCGGGGCGGGAAGAAGGGCTCCCCGGCGCGCGGGGTCGTGGCGAGTTTCTGAGAGCGCGGGGCGGGCGGAAGGGGTGGGCGGAAGCGGAGGGGACTCCCCGCACGGGGTGGCGGAAGGGGAAGCGGGGGAAGCGGGAGGGGCGGGGGAGGGGGGGTGCTTTTACGAGTCGGTGCGCGTGCCGCGCGACGTGGTGCGCGTGTGGCAGGACTGCTGGCGTGGCGCGTGGCAGGCTGACGTGGAGATCCGATCCGCCGTGGATGGCGGGCTGGTGCTGGCGCAGGGCGCCGTGCTGGTGAGATGAATAATAGGCCATTTTCTGGTGAGATACTTAATAGGCCATTTTCTGGTGAGATACTTAATAGGCCATTTTCTGGTGAGATACTTTATAGGCCATATTCTTGTGAGATACTTCATAGGCCATTTTCTGGTGAGATACTTAATAGGCCATTTTCTGGTGAGATAGTTTATAGGTCATTTTCTGGTGAGATACTTAATAGGCCATTTTCTGGTGAGATACTTAATAGGCCATTTTCTGGTGAGATACTTTATTGGCCATTTTCTGGTGAGATGCTTAATAGGCCATTTTCTGGTGAGATACTTAATAGGCCATTCTCTGGTGAGATACTTAATCGGTGCCTTGCTAGTGAGCGCTGGTGGGGTAAGTTATTAGGTTCGTTGTAAGTGACCTTGCTGTGCGCTTTAGAAGCCATGCACCGCATACTCATCCCCTTTACTCCCTCTCCTCCCGCTCCTCCTCCCCAGGCCTGCACTGTAGGGCCTGGAGGCTGGAGTGCATGCTAGCACGCGCCATGCTGCAGCACGCGCGACTGCTCCTCAACCACGCCCTCCCTTCCGCCCCGTCCTTCTCCCCTCCCCCCACAATCGCCTCCCCTGCCCGCTCCCCTTCCCCAGGCGGCCCACTCGCAGGGCCTGGAGTGCATGCTGGCAGGAGCCATGCTGCAGCAGGCGCGCCCCCCGTGGGTGATCGTGCTGAGAGGAGTGCCTTTAGCCGCCAGTAACCCCATATGCTCCCTTGCCCCCTTCCCTCCCCCTCGTCTTTCCCCAGGCGGCCCACTCTCAGGGTCTCGAGCGCATGCTGGCAGGCGCCATGCTGCAGCAGGCGCGCCCCCCGTGGGTGATCGTGCTGAGAGGAGTGCCCGTGGAGGCCATCAGAGGCGTCGTTCAGGCGCTATACTGCGGCACGTGAGTCTGATCTGCTCTGCCCCTTGGTTGATTAGCAGCTTGTTGCTGGGTGGGAGGGGGAGGAGAGGAGAGTAGGTCTCAGTGGGTGGTCGTGCTGAAGGGGGTTCCAGTGGAGGCCATTAGAGGGGTTGTTCAAGCCCTATACTGCGGCACGTGAGTCTGCGTTCTTTTGTCTAGTCTGGAAGAGGAGAGAAGAGGTGTCAGTGTGGGTGATAGTGCGGAGGGGAGTGCCAGTGGAGGCCATCAGAGGGGTCTTTGAAGCCCTTGACTTAGTGACTTAGTGCCGTGTGTTCCTCCCCTTAGTCCGGGAGGGGGGGGGGGGGGGAGAGCAGGCGTCAGTGGGTATTAACGCTGAAGGAGCCCCAGGTGAAGGTTGTCAGATCAGGGGGGTTGTTCAGGCGCCCATTCCCTCCCCATCCCCCTCTCAAATCCCTCTGCCTGGAAGCCTTCTTTCCCGCCTCCTCTGGGTTACCCCCTTCTTATATGCCCACCCTTGCACCCCCATCTCCTTCCCCCTTTTCGCCCCATCTTCCTCCTCGTGATTGCTCTACGCTACGCAATGCTCGTTCCTTTTCATTCTCCGCCCTCCTATTCTTCCCACCTCCCCTCTCATTCTCAACTCCAACCAACCAGCATGGACGATGCATTAATGGATCGGCACATCTTCCACCTCCTCCTCCTCGCCCACTCCCTCCCCATCCCCCTTCTCAAGTCGCTCTGCCTTGAGGCCCTGCGCTCCCGCATCCTCTTTATTAGCCCCTGATTGTATCTTCCCCTCGTCCTCTTCTTTTTTACCCAATCCCCCCCCTCTTGATTGCTCTTCTTGATTCGATGCTCGTCTCTTTCCAATTCCTCCTGCTGCCCCATTCTCCCCGCCCCCTCAACTCCCCTTTCACCAGCATGGATGATGCACTCATGGATCGACACATCTACCATCTCCTCCTCCTCGCGCACTCCCTCCCCATCCCCCTTCTCAAGTCCCTCTGCCTAGAAGCCCTGCGCTCGCGCCTCCTCTCCCCCGCCAACGCCGTCGACACGCTTGTCCTCGCGCGATTGGTCGGCTCGCGCGCGCTGCAGGCGCTGACTCAGCAGTACATCGTGCGGCACCACGCTGATGTGGCGCTGACGGACGCGTGGGCCATGCTGAGTCAGGAGTACCCAGACGTTAAAGCGATGATTGTGCAGATGGTGGAAGCGAGGAAGAAAGTGAGTGGGTGTGATAGAAAGTTGGCGGGTTGAAACTTGAGAGTGGGTGTTAAAGAGACGGGAGGGTGGTTTGAGGGAGGTTTGAGGTTGATTGGCGCCAATCACAATGGAAGTGAAGGGGATGCTTGTGGGTATGGTGGAAGCGAGGAAGAGGGTGAGTGACTTGCATAAGAGGGTGGGGTTGGGGAGGAGAGTGTAGTGATTGAGTGTAGTGGGACTGTGGGTGAGTGGCAGTCTGTCACGGCCTGCATGGTAGTCTATCCACTGTACCTACCATGCTGGCCGGTCTCTCTTCTGTGGGTGGTGTGTGGCGTTCCTCACTGGGGTTTGCAGCGCACTGCCAGTGGGGGCTGGCAGGGGCGAGGATGGGTGGTAGCTGCTGCAGGTGCAGCAGCGGGCAGCGAGAGCGTTGGCGGCGCCAGTTTCTCATTGCGCCTTGCCCGGTTTCATCCCTCCCTCGTTTCCAGTGCTGCTTTCCCTCCCATGGCAACACGATACAAGCTTGCAGGGAGAGGAGGTAAAGCAGGCAGTGAGGGCTCTCAAGCACAAGCTATCGTTGCCTTGCCGCTTGCCCGTTTCATCCCTCCCTTGTTCCCCAATGCCGCTTTCCCATGGCAGCGCGATGCAGGCTTGCAGGGAGAGGAGGCGTGGGCGAGTCAGCAGGTGCAGCAGGCAGTGAGGGCACTGGATAGCGCAGTCAGCCGTTGCCTCTTCCCCAGATTCATCCCTCCCCTGTTACCCCAATGCTGCTTTCCTGCCCATGGCAGCGCGACACTGGCTTGCACGGGGACGAGGTGTGGGCGAGGCAGCAGGTGCAGCAGGCAGTGAGGGCCCTCGAGCACATCTGCAACGACGGTAGCTGTGCCTCCTCCTCCTCTGCTCCTGCCTCTGTCTCCTCTCCTCCTCCCGCTGCTCCTCATTCTGCTGCTCCTCATTCTGCTGCTCCTGCAACTGCTTCCCCCTGTGATTCTACCTCTGTGCCCCCTTCTGGCACCTCCTCTGCGTCTGCTGTGGAGGGTGAGGGGGTCAGGGCCGGGACAGGGGTTGGGGGGGATGGGGGAGAGGAAGGGGGAGGAGGAGGAGGAGGAGCGGAGGGGGCGGAAGGGGCGGAAGGGGAGGAAGCAGAGGGGCCAAATCCCGATGGCACTGCTGCCGCTGCTGCTGCGGCAGATACGACTGCTACGAATTCTCAGAATCAACCAGGCAAAACGGGTCTAACAAGTCAATCGGGCCAATCGGGACCAAGCACTCTCTCCCCTACTACCACCCTCGCACCTACCCTCTCCTCCCTCTCCTCCTCCTCCCACTACCTCGGCGGCAGCGGCACTCTCTCCACCCTCTCCTCCTCCTCCTCCCTCCTCTCCGTCCGCCCCATGTCCCCCCCCACACCCGCCACCTCTGCTGCCCCCCCCACCCCTTGCGGCCTCCCCAAGTGCCGTCCGGTTGAGGGGCTGATTCGGCACTTTGCTAAGTGCGGTGTGAAGGTGTCGGGAGGGTGTGGGAGCTGCAAAGTGGTGTGGCAGCTGTTGGAGCAGCACTCGGGCGCGTGTGAAAAGCAGAAAGGATGCCGCGTCCCTCTGTGCAGGTACGAGACCCGTGTCTGTCTGCCATGCATTGGCGTCTCTTATCGTGTCCCTCTTTCCTCCTCAAACGCGCTCCTTCCTGGGTTCCTCCCTGCTGCCACAGGCAATTCAAGAGCAAGCAGCAGCAGGAGCAGGGCAGTGGGGGGCCTGCTGCGGGCAAGGAGAAGCTGAGTGCAGCAGAGCATGCAGAGCAAGTCACAGCACTGGCCAAGGCTCTCTTGGCCTTAGAGGATGCCAAGTCGTTTTAATGCTGGTATTGGGCCCAGCAAGCAACTCTAGCTGCTCGCATGCAAGGAGAAGTTAACTGGAAGTCACCGCACTAGCGAAGTCCCTCTTGGCTCTATAAAGTGCCATGTCGTGCCAAGTCGTAAAGGAGCTAGTGAAGTGAACCCATGTTGATTTAGGGCTGTTTAGGTGCAGAAAGAGACTCAGTGAACCTAACTGCTTACAGGCAGAGATTATCAAGATGTTTAAAACTTTCATAACTTGTATGGGGGATGCTGGAAAACGAGACAGCCTCAAAAGAGGACCTACTGGTAGTCTTGTCTGGTTCTTCTCAACTCCTTGAGGCACTGTTGAGTTGGGTCCTACCTCCCAGTCACCATCTATACCCATCCCTGAGCAACGTTGCTTGCAAGTACGGTATCGAATCAGATTTGCACTTCATCATCCTCCATTTTGGAGGACGATGGGAGAATCAGCACACCTAGCAGAACCTGTCTTTCTTTAGCTTTGCGCTAACACGGTAGACCTAGAGGCAAGGGTAGACTATGGGCTTCTGAACTTCTCGCCCGCGTAAATAGCAGCAGAGCCAAGCTCCTCCTCTATGCGCAGCAACTGTCAAGCAAAACATGATGAGGGGATTTCGTAAAAGAATGACATGAAAGTAAGAGTCGGTAGTTGAAAGAAGCTGTACAGACCGATGCAGCAGTAGGAAGAGCACACATCCATTGCGTAATCCAATATGGGAACAATCAATCAACAAACAAACAACCAATCAAACGGTGGTACCTGGTTGTACTTGGACAGGCGCTCGCTGCGGCAAGGAGCTCCTGTCTTGATCTGCACGCAAACAGACAAGTAGAGAAAAGGGAGAGGGGGAGAAGGGACCAAGGGAGTGAAGGGAGGGAGAAGGATCACAAAGCAGGAGGGAGGGGGCATGCCATGCCATTTAAAGTCAAAGCAGCAATAGGACCCACCTGGTTGGCCAAGACACACCTAACCACCTAACACCCACCTGGCCAGCAGCGAGCCCCACAGAGAGGTCAGCGATAAAGGTGTCCTCTGTCTCACCACTGCGGTGATAGCATCACCTCCGCCCCACCCTGCTGCCCCTGAGGCACCCCTACAGCCGACTAGCACCGGACCTGACCACCTAGCACCGGTTAACACCCACCTGGCCGGCAGCGAGCCCCACAGAGAGGTCAGCGATAAAGGTGTCCTCTGTCTCGCCACTGCGGTGCGACACCATCACCCCCCACCCCGCTGCCTCTCAGACAACCCACAGCCCACTAGCACCGACCTGACCGGCTAGCACCGCACCTGACCGCTTAGCACCGCACCTAACCTCCTGACACCCACCTGGCCAGCAGCGAGCCCCACAGAGAGGTCAGCGATAAAGGTGTCCTCTGTCTCGCCACTGCGGTGCGATACCATCACCCCCCACCCCGCTGCCTTGGCGTCCTGCGCTGCTGTGATGCTCTCCGTCACACTGCCGATCTGGTTCACCTGTGGAGAGGGAGAGGGAGGTGAGAGGGTGAGAGGGAGGGGAGGGGGAGGGGAGGGGGAGGGGAGGGGGAGTTGGTTCCTCGGATTAAAAGACCAAGTTGCCGTCTTGTGCTGTTGTGCTGCTGTGATGCTCTCTGTCACACTGCCGATCTGGTTCACCTGCAGGAAAAGAAACCTTCGAGTGGGGGGGTGTGAGGGGGGAGGGGGGGGGAAGTTGAAGGTTGGATTGGAGAGGGGAGGGGGGGGCGCAAGCAACGTGTTGGTGGCAAACTGCACTTTCACCTAACAACAACACGTTGCAACACTAACGAGTGTGCAACGTGTTGATGCCCCCAGAATCTGTGCTTTCGCACCTAACGAGTGTAGTGTGGTTCGCATCCAGCAGCAGCTGCCTGTTTGCTTACCTTAAGCAGGAGCGCGTTGCACACGTTGTTCTGAACGGCATCGGCAATCCTCTTGGGATTCGTGACCGTCAAATTGTCCCCCACGATCTGCACGTCCAGCAGGGCTTTAAGCTTTGTCTTGACCTAACCCATACTTTCTTCGCACCTTGAGCAGGAGCGCGTTGCACGCGTTGTTCTGAACGGCATCAGCAATCCTCTTGGGGTTGGTCACCGTCAGATCGTCCCCCACAATCTGCACGTCCAGCAGGGCTTTAAGCGCCGCCCAGTTCACCCAGTCGTCCTGCTCGAAGGGGTCTTCTATCGAGACGATGGGGAACTCCTTAACGAAGCTCTCATACAGCTCCGCCAGGGCCTGCCCTGAGATGACGTCCGTGCCGTCATTGGGCTTCTGCTTGAAGTTGAGGTCGTACTTGTGGTCCGGGGTGTAGAACTCAGACGCTGCCACGTCCATGCCCAGCTTCACCTGAGAAAAGGAACAATGAGGGGAGGAAAAAAGGTGAAAAAGAGGGGTGGAGATGGGTGGCAAGGGGTTGCTGTGGTTGGGCTTGTGCTTGAAGCTAAGGTCGTACTTGTGGTCAGAGGTGTAGAACTCAGATGCAGCCACGTCCGTGCCCAGTTTCACCTGGAGAAGGGGTGCAAACAACAACCAAAGGGGTGGGAGACGGTTGGGTGGCAGGGGTTGCCGTGGTTGGGCTTGTGCTTGAAGTGAAGGTCGTACTTGTGGTCCGGCGTATAGAACTCGGATGCAGCCACGTCCATGCCTAGCTTCACCTGAGAAGAAGAGGGGGGGTGTGGGGAGGGGAGGTTAAAGAGCGGTAGGGAGACGCAGAAGAGGTGTGGAGATGGGTGAGAAGGTGTGGGCACAGCGTGTTTTGAGACGTCTCAAAACACGCGAAGTTGAGATCGTAGTTGTGGTCCGGAGTGTAGAACTCAGACGCAGCGACATCCATACCTAGCTTCACCTGAAGTGGAAGTGGGGAAGGGACGGGGTGGGGACGGTAGAGAAGGGAGATGCAGAAGCAGAGGGGTGGAGATGGGTGAGAAGGAGTGGATGAACACATCTGGGCTTTTGCTTGAGTTGAGCACGTGCTTACGATTTGGGAGATTAGGAGTAGGAGGCACGAACTGCGGACTTGGGTGAGTGTGGAGGGTAGTTGGGTGAGTGTGGGGGGTAGTTTAGGAACTTGGCTGGAAGTGAGTGGGTGTTCTGGAATGTTCCATAGCGCCTTCTTGGCTGCACCGTACCCCACAGTTCTGAGCGTCATTGCACCAGTGCCCCAGGGGGTCCTCATCGATTATGCAGGTGATTATATCTTTCTTCCCCCCCACCCTTCCCCCTCCCTCCTTCCGTCTCCTTCTCTCTTTGTCCCAAATGCAGACACCGATTTCCCCGAATCTCTTGCCCCTGTTCCACCCCTCACCTCACCTAAACCCTCTTCCCCTCCTGACCATGCCCCCATTCCCACCTCACCTTGCCAGTGTACCCCGCCTTGTCAATGGCGTCCACAAGCAGCACGAGCCCCTCCTTGTTGTCCTGAATGTTGGGCTTTAAGGTCCCTGTTCCCCCCTCACCATGCACGTGTTCCTCACCATGCACGTGTTCCTCACCATGCACGTGTTCCTCACCATGCACGTGTTCCTCACCATGCGCGTGTTCCTCACCATGCGCGTGTTCCTCACCATGCGCGTGTTCCTCACCATGCGCGTGTTCCTCACCATGCACGTGTTCCTCACCATGCGCGTGTTCCTCACCATGCACGTGTTCCTCACCATGCGCGTGTTCCTCACCATGCGCGTGTTCCTCACCATGCGCGTGTTCCTCACCATGCACGTGTTCCTCACCATGCGCGTGTTCCTCACCATGCGCGTGTTCCTCACCATGCGCGTGTTCCTCACCATGCGCGTGTTCCTCACCATGCGCGTGTTCCTCACCATGCGCGTGTTCCTCACCATGCACGTGTTCCTCACCATGCGCGTGTTCCTCACCATGCGCGTGTTCCTCACCATGCGCGTGTTCCTCACCATGCACGTGTTCCTCACCATGCGCGTGTTCCTCACCATGCGCGTGTTCCTCACCATGCGCGTGTTCCTCACCATGCGCGTGTTCCTCACCATGCGCGTGTTCCTCACCATGCGCGTGTTCCTCACCATGCGCGTGTTCCTCACCATGCGCGTGTTCCTCACCATGCGCGTGTTCCTCACCATGCGCGTGTTCCTCACCTTGCCGGTGTATCCCGCCTTATCGATCACATCAACCAGCAGCACGAGCCCTTCCTTGTTGCCCTGAATGTTGGGCTCTAAGTTCCCCTTGTCCCTCATTCCCCTCCCCCCCATCATTTGCCCCTCTTCCCCCCCTCACCTTGCCGGTATAACCAGCCTTATCGATAGCATCCACAAGCAGCACGAGACCCTCCTTGTTGTCCTGAATGTTGGGCGCAAACCCCCCCTCGTCGCCCACGTTGCACGCGTCCTGCCCGTACCGCTTCTTGATGATGCCCTTCAGGACTTGGTACACTGGCGGAGAGTAGGGGGGATGTTGGCGCAACGGGCAGCGGGCAAAGGGCAAGGAGAGAGGGTGAGATGAAGTCGCACGTTGCATGCGTCCTGCCCATTCCGCTTCTCGATGATGCCCTTCAGGACTAGGTACACTGGCGGAGGGCGGGGGGGGTATGGGAGCAACGGGCAACGAGCAAAGGGGCAAGGAGAGAGGGTTAGGTGATGCCACACGTTGCACGCGCCTTGCCCGCAGCGCTTCTTCATCATGCCCTTCAGCACCCGGTAGACTGGGGGAGGGTTTGGCGAGGCGAGGGTGGTCGGAGTGGGGAGGCGGAAGGGAGGGGCTGTGTGAATGTTGAGTCAACCCAAGCCCTCGTGGCCCACATCGTATCACATCCCACTGCTTCTCAGCTTCACATATCAGCTTGTTGCCGGCGTGGCTGCCTCTAGTGCGTCCCCATCCTCTCTACTTATCACTCTGCCCTCGCTCACCTTCGCATCCCATTTGGATCGCTTCCGAGAAGGACGAGGCGCCAGTGGGGAGGATCATGAACTCCTGCATGGCCAGCTTGTTGCCCGCGTGGCTGCGGCTGGTGCGTCCCCATCACTGCTTATCAGATCACTCCTCCCTGCTTATCAGACTGCCCTTCTCACCTTCGCATCCCATCTGAATCGCTTCCGAGAAGGACGAAGCGCCAGTGGGGAGGATCATGAACTCCTGCATGGCCAGCTTGTTGCCCGCGTGGCTGCCGCCGTTGATGACGTTCATGGCGGGCACGGGCATGATCAGCTTCTCGACGCCTGCCAGAGAGGCGAGGTGCCTGGGACGGGAAGGAGGGAGGGAGGAGGGACGAGGGGATTGAGAGGCCATTTATGCGCAAGTGCGGAGTGAGCGCCGTCGATGCTGGCGGGCGGCAGCACCGGCGTGGGAGACGGCGACAATCGAGTCTTTACGCGCCACGATAGCGGAGCAAGCCTGTGCCTTACAGCGGAGCTTACCTGTAGAGCGGGACCGCGTTGCCAGCAGCGCCGGCGTGCGCGACGGCGAGGGAGACGCCGAGAATGGCGTTGGCGCCGAGCGACGACTTGTTGGGCGTGCCGTCGAGCTCCAGCATCAGCGCGTCGATCGCGCGCTGGTCCCTGGTAGGGGGGGAAAGGGGAGGGGGAAAGCGGATGGGAATGCATGAGCATGAGCGCATTGTTGGCGCCGAGCGACGACTTTGTTGGGCGTGCCGTTGAGCTCGAGCATTAGCGCGTCGATGGCGCGCTGATCCTTGGGGTGGAAGGGAACACGAGGAGATGTGATGTGATTGAGGCGCCCCCGACAATGAAACGTGATGTGATTTGGATGTGCCGTCGAGAGCGGCAGGGAATAGGCGAGGGCTGGGTACGGATGAAAGGACACTTGCTCATCCGTGAAGGCAGTTTATGCTGTCTCCCGCATTCTGATCTCACAATTTCACTCCTTGTTAATAAAATAAATAAATAAACTTCGAAAATATCGTATGCATTACGTGGGGTCGAGGCCGATGAGCGAGGGAGCAATGATGTTGTTGATGTTCGCGACGGCCTTGAGCACGCCCTTCCCGCCGAACTTGCTCTTATCCCCGTCGCGCAGCTCCAGCGCCTCGTAGATCCCCGTCGACGCGCCGCTGGGAACGGCGGCGCGGAACACGGTGCTGGACTTAGACGTCCTCAGATCAACCTCCACCGTCGGATTTCCGCGGCTGTCGATGATCTGACGGGCCTTGACGCTCGCGATCTCGCCGACCTGGCTTCCGGACATGGCCCGGATGGCTGTGGTCTTCCGGAATGGCGCTGCGAGGGAGACATTGGTGGCTGCGAGAGCGGTGCCGGAAGTTGCGGAGAGTTTCAGAGGGGATCCGGCGAGGAATGCCTTTTGAAGGAGGGACGCGGATGCGGATGCCATGGCTGGCTACTGCAGAAATGCAGGGGGGAATGCAGAGGCTCACGGGGGCTCACGGTCACGCAAACCAGCAGCAGTTGAGTAATCAACTGGAGAAACGAAAGCTGGTTATGGGAGGCGTGACCCTCGTTAGGCAAAAGGCAGCTGATACTTCAGAAACAGAATGAAATGAAATGTGGTGTGAAGAAGAGGGAGATAGGCATTCAAACGGGGGGAGGGAGGGAGATTGACACTGTACTGTGTCGCTTCGAGTTGCGGAACAGTCGAAACTGGCTACCACTCGCGTCGAAACCAGAATTCGCAGTGACGAAGCTCCTCAAAACCACAACCAGTTTCGCTTCCGCATAATCTGTCGTGAATTGTGAACCCTCCTCCAAACCAGACCAGGAACCTCCCATACCCATCTCTGATCCCCATCCAAGCCTGGATCCTGAAATTCGGTCACCTCGAATAAGTCCTCGATGTTGTCGCTCATGTGTCAACCTGTCAATCCGTCCGTCCGTCAAACAGGAGATGCAAGATCTATTCGTCGTAAAAGTGTTCTGGGCAGAAGAAATATTGCACTGTCCAGGTCAGATGAGAAAATTGGGCATTGGTTACATCGGCCATGCTCCATGTGACATTCAGGCTAATTGCGAAACTACACGTGGAGCGGCTATGCCACCGAAGATGTACGCGATGGTATACGCTTCTTTTGAGGACAAGTACAGTCTCTACACCCGACTTTGAGAGCCGTGTATGGCAGGTTCCTAGCACAGACGTTCCACCTCAATCAGCATCCTTATGACGTGGCGCCTACGAGGAATTATTGTAGGTCGGCAAAATGACGCTTCTGGGACCACAACTCCATCAGTGTGACTCCAATTCCCGTCATCATGCCGTCAGAAAATCCTCGTAAACTGGAGTCAATAGGCGAATTGTTCTCTTCTCTCTCGACGGTTGACCTCTGTGCGATGTGAATCCTTTCTGTAATTCGATGGCTGGTTCAGCTGCTGTTTTGTACGCGTAAATCATAGCCTAGTATCTGCTGAATGCCACAACCAGCCAATCGTACCCGTTCGCCTTCTGGTTTCCTCTCGCCAGCCCTCCCTTCAACCTCCATAAACGTAGAAGGCACAAAGTTAGTGATCGAATTTCCGTTTGCCGTTAGCTTTGCCTGGTATTTCAGGACACATCCAGCAACTCGTGTATATAATGTGCAAATTCGTCTGCATCCCGAATAGCTACCTCACGACTCTAGGCCATCACTGACACGCACCTGGTGATTATGGGACGAGCCTACACGTTCTTAAGAATAGCTGGCAGACGGCTCAATTTCGGATATCATTCAACGACAAGGTATGACCGCAATGGTAATCGTGTCGTTCGGTTTATCTCGCGCATTGCTGTAAAGTTACAATCAAGTCATATGTCCATTCCGTATGTCATCGTAACGAGGTGACGCAGAGAACCTGATTTCCGTCTTTCCACCCTTCTCGTCCACCTCTCCCTTCGTCCAGCGCAAGCATCCCCTCCACCAGACCAGCATCACAGCTCTTTGCTGCTCCTTGGACGCCACGTGGCGCGATGGGATTGGAAGCGTCTCACGCGTCACCACAAGTACCGATATTACCGTCCAGCGCAGTGGTTTCAGCTCCCCTTGCGCCCACCGCTCACATCCCTCACCCCCTAGACGTGCTTAACACTCACCACCTAGAATCTCCCAACACTAACCACATTATGAGTCCTTGTAGTTCCATGGCGGTTCAAGCAGCCACTGCGGCTGCAGCAACGACAGCGGCAGCGGCAGCAACCGCCGCTTTAGCAGGTCCAATCGGAGTCAGCCACGTGTGCGCCGGTCTGGACGTGGAAGCGTTTCCGTTCCAAGGAGTCTCGTTCCTCTCGCCGTTACCCTTCTCGAGAAGCATGAGCAGCAGCTTCAGCAGCAGCAGCGTCAGCAGCAGCAGCAGCAGCAGCAGCAGCAGCAGCAGCAGCAGCATGAGCAGTTGCATGAGCAGCATGAGCATCAGCAGCAGCGGCAGCGGCGCGCGCTCGTTACAAGGAAGCGGAGGCAGTTGGCAGGCGATCCAATTCGCGGCTGGAGCCGGGTCAGGGCTGGGCGGCGCTGCATGGTGGCGAGAGCTGCACGAAGCAGCCACCGCCGCCACCAGCAGCTGCGAAAACAGCCCGCGCGGGCAGATGCAAAAGGGGGTCAGTCCCCGAGGGGAGCAGCAGAGGGGGGTCAGTCCCGTAGGAGAACAGCGCAGGGGAGAATTCACTGTGCCTAGTGATAGCGATGGCGTCAGCGCGAGCCGTGACCGCAAAAGCGGTGCTATCAGTGCGACCAGCGGCACCAGCGGCAATGGCAAGGGTGAGAGTGAGAGCAGGGTTCCAGAAGCGGTGAGGTCGGACCCGCTGCAGTGGCTGCCGCGGTATGTGAAGGTGGTGGAGGTGGGGCCGCGGGACGGGCTGCAGAACGAGAAGCAGCAGGTGGCGGTGGGCGTGAAGGTGGAGCTCATTCACCGCCTCATGGCTGCTGGGCTGCCCGTGGTGGAGGCTACCAGCTTCGTGTCCCCGAAGTGGATTCCCCAGGTGGGTGCTTGTAGTGTTATTGCTTCCGCTTCTTATAACGAGTACGAGAGACAGTGGTGGCGGTGGGCGTGAAGGTGGAGCTCATTCACCGCCTCATGGCCTTATGGCCAAGGAGGTGGCCGTTTGCTGCTGTCTTAACCCTCCACAAACCCCCCCCCACGCCCCCCGAACTCCCACTCCCCAACCCCCTCTGTTCGCAGCTTTCTGATGCACCAGAGGTGATGCAGCGAGTGCAGAGCAATGGGCGAACCAAGCTACCTGTACTGACCCCCAACCTGAGAGGCCTCGAAAACGCAGTGGCAGCAGGGGCCAAGGAGGTCGCTGTGTTTGCTGCTGCTTCTGAGGCGTTTTCCAAGAAGAATATCAACTGCTCGGTGGAGGAGAGTCTGGAGCGGTACAGGGCGGTTTGCGACGCTGCCAGGGATAGGGGCATTCCCGTGAGAGGGTGAGTTGATAGAGTTGATGGGTGGCGTCATGTGACCTTACTTCTAGGTCCCTATTCCTTACGTCTCATATTACTCTTTAGTCCGTGTACGCTCAGTCGTTCGGGTGGTCCTTCATTAATATACGCTGGAGATTACAACGGGAGCTATAAGGTTTACGCTCAGTCCTTCTCTCTTGGTTTTTTCTCAAGATTGTGCGACCTTACCAGGGACGTTACTTCTCCTTGTTTGGTCCTTGCACAGCCGGTCATTCAATTTTCATCCTCTCCTTTGCTTTCCTCTCCCTCGACCTACAGCCATGTACCCATGCCCCTATGAAAACCACATATTAGATTCCCAACCGACCATTCCCCCCCCTCTGCTTCCTACCTCTGCAGCTATGTATCCTGCGGTGGGGTGCCCCTACGAGGGTCACCTAGAGCCAGCAGAAGTGGCCAGGGTGGCTGATTGGGTGCTTATGCCATTGCTCCCCTCATTGCTCACCCGCAGCTATGTATCATGTGCGGTGGGGTGCCCCTACGAGGGACACATAGAGCCAGTGGCGGTGGCAAGAGGGGCTGCTGATGCTGTGAGGCGCCTCAACCACACTCCGTTCAACCCCCTTCGGCCATTGCTCCCCTCATTGCTCACGTGCAGCTATGTATCCTGCGCGGTGGGGTGCCCCTACGAGGGTCACATAGAGCCAGCAGCAGTGGCGAGGGTGGCCAGGGCTCTCCACGACATGGGGTGCTACGAGGTGTCTCTGGGTGACACCATTGGTGTCGGCACTCCTGGTGAGGCTCAAAGCGGTGCAGTGCAGTACAGTGCAGTGCGGTGCTGTGCTGTGCGGTGCTGTAAGGTGCTGTAAGGTGCTGTGAGGTGCTATGAACTAGAGCACATAGAGCCAGCAGCAGTGGCGAGGGTGGCCAAGGCTCTCCACGACATGGGATGCTACGAGGTGTCTCTGGGTGACATCATTGGTGTCGGCACTCCTGGTGAGGCTCAAAGCGGTGCAGTGCAGTACAGTGCAGTGCGGTGCTGTGCTGTGCGGTGCTGTAAGGTGCTGTAAGGTGCTGTGAGGTGCTATGAACTAGAGCACATAGAGCCAGCAGCAGTGGCGAGGGTGACCAAGGCTCTGCACGACATGGGGTGCTATGAGGCTCAGTGGCGCCCATGCTGGATGCCGTGTGTGCGTATGTGCTGCCCTCCTCCCTCTCACTCCCCCCTCTCACTCCTCCCTCACCTTGAGTTCCCTTCCCCCTTCTTCCCTTGCCCCTTCCCCCCTTCCACTCTCCCCCTCTTTCCCTTTTCTCCTCTTCCCCTCTTCCCTCCTTCCCCCTTTCCTTCCTTCCCCCATTCCCTCCGTCTCTCCTTCCCCCCTTCCCCACCCCACCAGGCTCCGTGGCGCCCATGCTGGACGCCGTGTGTGCGTGTGTGCCGCCTGCCTCTCTCGCTGTCCACTTTCACGACACCTATGGCCAGGCGCTCGCCAACATTCTCGTGGCTCTGCAGGTGAGCTGCCTGCAATGACCACTGCATTGTCTCCAGGTATTATCTCCTTCCCCGTGCTTCACTTCCACCACACCTACGGCCAGGCCCTCGCCAACATTCTCGTGGCTCTGCAGGTATTGTGTGTTGGTGGCTCTGCAGGTATTGTGTGTTGGTGGCTCTGCAGGTATTGTGTGTTGGTGGCTCTGCAGGTAATGTGTGTTGGTGGCTCTGCAGGTATTGTGTGTTGGTGGCTCTGCAGGTATTGTGTGTTGGTGGCTCTGCAGGTAATGTGTGTTGGTGGCTCTGCAGGTATTGTGTGTTGGTGGCTCTGCAGGTATTGTGTGTTGGTGGCTCTGCAGGTATTGTGTGTTGGTGGCTCTGCAGGTATTGTGTGTTGGTTGCTCTGCAGGTATTGTGTGTTGGTGGCTCTGCAGGTATTGTGTGTTGGTGGCTCTGCAGGTATTGTGTGTTGGTGGCTCTGCAGGTATTGTGTGTTGGTGGCTCTGCAGGTATTGTGTGTTGGTGGCTCTGCAGGTATTGTGTGTTGGTGGCTCTGCAGGTATTGTGTGTTGGTGGCTCTGCAGGTAATGTGTGTTGGCTGCTCTGCAGGTATTGTGTGTTGGTGGCTCTGCAGGTATTGTGTGTTGGTGGCTCTGCAGGTATTGTGTGTTGGTGGCTCTGCAGGTAATGTGTGTTGGTGGCTCTGCAGGTAATGTGTGTTGGTGGCTCTGCAGGTATTGTGTCTTGGTGGCTCTGCAGGTATTGTGTCTTGGTGGCTCGGAGGTGGCTCTGCAGGTAATGCGGGTTGCAATGCAATGCTTGTGCACAGGTGTCAGCTTGAATTGCTGAATCCAGCCCACGCCTCGCCTCCCTCGCCCTCCACTTTCACGACACCTATGGCCAGCCAGGCCATCGTTAACCTCTTCGTGGCTCTGCAGGTGGGGCGCGTGTGATGCCTGCACTCGCATGCCTGTGCCTGTGCGTAGGCTCACGATGAATGACTGGGTCGACACAAATTGTCGTGTTGAATGCTGCTGCCCTCCCTGCTCCTCCCGCAACCCAATCACACAAAGACGAACGTTATCACAGTAATCAACTCCCTCCAAAGCCGGTGCTGGTGGCGGGTCTTACTCCATTTAAATGTCTTCCTTCTGTATGTGCTGCAGCCTCCGAGACCACTGGTTACCAGCTATGAGCTCCACTGTTGTTGCCCTCCCCCCTGCCACACCCCCACTTACTACACAGATGGGCGTGTCAGATGGTCGATTCCTCGATTGCTGGTCTCGGCGGGTGTCCCAACGCCAAGGGGGCGTCAGGCAACGTGGCGACAGGGGGCGTGATGCATCTGCTGCATGGCTGTTGCTGAAGGTGCTGCTGACCTCATGTGCTTACCTCTGTCCCCTCCCCTCAGATGGGCGTATCAGTGGTGGAATCCTCAATAGCAGGGCTGGGCGGGTGTCCCTACGCCAAGGGGGCGTCAGGCAACGTGGCGACAGAGGACGTGGTGTATCTGCTGCATGGGCTGGGGGCGATGCACTCGTGTGTTTCCCTCCTGTTGCCCTCCCATCACCCTTTCTTCTCACCACACACAGATGGGCGTGTCAGTGGTTGATTCCTCGATAGCAGGGCTGGGCGGGTGTCCCTACGCCAAGGGGGCGTCAGGCAACGTGGCGACAGAGGACGTGGTGTATCTGCTGCACGGACTGGGCATTCACACCGGCATAGACTTTGACAAGCTGCTCGACGCATCGGCGTTTATCAGCCAGGCGTTGGGGCGAGAGCCCTGCTCGCGCACTGCTGTGGCTCTGGCACGCACCAGGCAAACAATGGGAGAGACACCTAAACTGTGATGCGTTTTGGTGCGGTGCGGTGTGGTGCGGTTCGGTGCGGTCGGTGCGGTAGGAGGAGCATAGACTTTGACAAGCTGCTCGACGCGTCGGCGTTTATCAGTCAGGCGTTGGGGAGAGAGCCCTGCTCACGCACTGCTGTGGCTCTGGCTCGCACCAGGCAAACAATGGGAGAGACGCCAAAGCTCTAGGTTTAACTTCTTGTGATCTGGTGCGGTGCGATTCAGTGCGGTGCAAAATCGGTGCGGTGCGACATAGTGGAGAGAGGTGCAGTGCAGTAGGAGGACGGCCATAGAGTTTGACACTCGAGGTATCGGTGTTCATCGTTCTGCATTACAGCATGGGTGTCTCTGCCAGCATTTGCCTGGTGTGTGCAAGGGCCACAGATTTGGGCAATGAGGGAAGTGAGTGTCATAACTTGTCTGGAACAGTGCTTGGGCAGTGTATGTACATATGGAGTTTGCTGGTGAATGTTAAACGTCCCACCAGCCTATGTTGCTCCTACTTGGAAGGTCTCTCCCCTTCACTTTGTGCAGCGGCTCGAGTGCACGAATCACAGTTATGCTCGGCAGGTTGTGAAGTCAGCGAAAAAAGGCTGATTTAGCTAAAAAGGCTGAGATTTCAGACCTTTGTTTTAACTGAGGCTGATTTTTCAGCAATTTGTTGAAAAGAAACAGGAAATTTTAGTGGATTTGTAGTGAAAAATGGCATAAAATGGCTGATTTGCCTGATTTCCAGCAAAACGTTTTGTACCAACTCTGATTTTCCAGCCTAGGCCAAAACGAATCTGAGGCCCTGGTTGTGAGTGCGCTTCATTCAACCATCACATCGTAGGTTTGAACCAATTTAGGCATTGCGTTGACTCGACAACCTGCAGTAGTTGCATGGCGAGGCGACTTCATATTGTTTCTTGATTCCACCGCACACCAGGCCCTCATATGGTATTTGTTTTGAGGGACTCTGATCGACCAGCCTCGGTTCACAACGGTTAAGAGGTGTCATTTGACGATTCAGCGTGACACTGGATAAAAACGCCAGAATTTCAGGGTTGGTAGACAACTACCGACCTGATATTCAGCCAACAGCTAAGAAAAAGAATATGTACATTCAGCCTAGGGCCTTCAGAAACGTCTGAAAATCAGTCTCTTGATGGCAAATCAGCATAAAAACGCTGACTTACAGCTCAACAAACATAGTTAAATTTCAGGCCTCCTTGTTATGATATACCACTTACTGTGATACCCATTACGGGGGAAGTAAATACTGTGATACCGTTACAGGGGAAGTTCGTAGCGTACAGGTTTATCAAATTTGCAAATCTTTGCCCAGGCACGCACGGGCAGGCGGTGTCTGTGAATCGTCGTAAGGATTGGTCACCACCACCAACCGAAGTTGTCGCCCGTCTAGAAACAGTTGACTAGTACGCGGAGCATTGCGAAAATTATAGTCGCACCAGTCGCACAGCTTGAGCAGCTTGTCGCAAACTGCATTTTTGCAACGCCGAGGCGAAGCTCAACTGTCTTTGTAGACGTCGCACTAGCAAAATCGTTTCACCACTCATGAACCACAGTTTCCATTCGAACCGCTTCCAGGCTCAGCCCCTCCGCCGCCCCACCATCGCCCCTTTGCTTCCGCGCTCTGGGCAGCCGCCTCGATATCATCAATCTGCGCTTGCCCAGTGTCTCTGCGCCGTGGCGCGAGCATGCGAGAGGTTGCGCTAGCCACCGTTTGGGTCCTCCCTGCAAATCCCCGCCCCCAACAAGATTAGTTCAGAACCATTCCGATGTCGGCGGAAGAAATTGCGCCCACTTTTTCAGACCGACGGGCAAACCGACAGGTCTGGTCCACACCTCGCTTGCTCCGCCAAAACTGGTTGGGCGTTCAGTTCGAGACCAGGGCGTGCAGTCTGGAATTTCGCTGTGCCCAGCCTAGGTTCCCCTCCCTCCCCCGCCTCTTCCGTCAATCGAGCCACCACCAACCTTTTCTCCAGCCCTTCCGTACCTCGCCAGCGCCCCGGGCTGAGCCCCGACATCACCGAGTCTGTTGTGTTCCCCGCCGCCGTCAACCCTGGGCTGGCCTGGCTCCCAGGGGCTCGTGCCCTGGTTTTCTCTGCGGAGCGTACGGTGCAAGGATAGGCGGAAGGCGGAAAAGGCGAGGTGGGCGGATGGAGAAAACAAGCGCAGCAAACCAGTGGGGCCGAGAGCAGATCGAACTCGGCGGGGCTTGTTTGACACGTCTGGAAAACTCACCTGCCTTTCTGGTTGAAACTGTTCAGGCGTGGTGCTCGCGTTGGTGATGCGTCGGTTAAGTGTGGTTTGGTATGTTTTACTGTTAATGTACGGTGGTGTGTGGGTGTGGAGGAGTCAACACCAATCTACCGCGACCGTCATCCTTCTTCCTTCCTCGATTCTGCCTTCCGCTTTCGGCATCCCGCTTTCTCCTCCCTGCTTTCGTCATCTGTGCTTGTTCTGTGCTCGTTCAGCCTTCCCTCCCCGCTCCTCGCGTCTCGTTCGTGACTGAGCGCTCTCGTCTTTATTCTCCTCGCCAGTTTAGCTCACTTCTGACCTAAATGGCGACCCCCTCGCGTGTGTCATCTTCTTCCAAATCGTTTGTTAGTAGTCATTTTTCGTGAAGCGTTTGTCGAATAATACGCTTTAGTACGGTCTCCAGTGGAAGTTAGGGTTTGTGTGAATCTGTTGGATGGACTGCAGAATAAGACTCTCCTGTTAGACCATCTGCTGGTTAGGCATTATGACGAGGCGGGAACCTCGTTCGAGATGGCACTGGTTTATAGGTTTCGCAGTGCTACTATCGTATCCATGTAGACAGCTCGCCTCTCGACCAATCCGAGAAAAGCTACTAGATTCTGAACTCCCCCTTTGGGAAGACGAGGTGCGTTTGCCGTTACCTGCGACCAAGACATGTTTAGTTATGCTTCCTTCCCGTGTTGCACCACGTAGGATTACTCATTGGGACTGCACGGTACCTTCAACCAGGAGACGTGGAACCAGTATGACGTTGGATCCTGTCTGAAATGTTGAGATCGTATTCTGAACCTACCTTGACTAGCTGAGTAGGTACTTTTGACTGCCGTCAACGTTAGAGCCGTCAACGTCCATGCTCCATTCACTAGAAGCTTCTAGAATGACGCTCTTCTCCGTTTTGCTGCGCCTCACTTATCCGCATGCGCACTCCAACCCATCGCCGTCTCCTACGCCGTTTTCCGCGCCGTTTTCCCCGCCGTCTCCCTCCCGTCCCCTCCTCTCGTTACTACCAGTGGAGTTTACGACCACTCGTGTCGGAAATCGTGGAGACCACCGACTTGTCGAATCTCAGGATATTCCCCTCGAATATCTCAGGAACATACAAAGGTGAACCAGGAAGCTTCCTCGCATCAGACGCAGTTGCCATTCTGTCGCATCATGCTGGTTGGTTTCCATATCGCGGCGTCTCCTAACGCGGATAGCGTGTACCGTGCTGTGTCGCAGGCACATGGGAGGTCGCGCGAAACTCCTCGTCGTCGCGATTCCCGGACCTACAGAAGAACTCTGGAAATATTATTTTCCAATTAAAGACCAGCAGCACGGCTCGTCCCGAGGTTCACTATGTCCATGTGAGCGCCTGCTGCCTCCTCCGTAGATTCTGTAGAACTTGCATATGCTAAGCACGACTTTTGAGGCGCCTCAAAACTCGTCCCGAGGTTCACTATGTCCATGTGAGCGCCTGCTGCTTCCAGCCGATTCGGACGACCTGGATTCTCTAGATCTTTCTATGTGCTACGCACCCCGGGTTGATCCTGCCGATTCAGATGACAAGGGTACAGTCTGTATCTACTTCTGGCGGTTTCTTGGTGAGGGAGCCGGTCTTAGCCTGTTCGGGTTCCGGCCTTTGTGTGTGTGAGAGGGGGGAGGGGTGTGGGTGGTGGGGGTGAAGCGCCTGGCGGTTCTTCATTAGCCTCCAGAGTGGATGCCAAGGCACATCTAGGCACTCGTTGACTGGAAAGCGAAGTTTCGTCGGCTCGTCGCGTGTATTCGTCGCTGCATCCTGATCATTTCGCGACCCCTCGCCTCTGTCAATGCTGCGTACGATATGGTTACTGCCATAGTGGACGCCCGCTTCCCCCCCCCCCCCCCCCCCCCCGCTCTCTGCGCTGAGACCTGGTCATCGTGCTGCTGGTGTGCACCTTGATGGATTGTCAGGCCAGGCTGGTGTTGTGAAACGCGGAAATGATAGATAAATCGTGGTATCATTGCGGAACTGTTTCAATAATGTTTGCGCATCGGCGGTGTTCCCATTATCCCTGCGAATGCGTGGCAGGGAGAGGTGGTGCTTCGGGACGGAATGTACATTAGCGACGGCGACGTGCATATGAAGCTCGAAGGGGTCTACCTGCGCCCCTTCGGCCACCTTAGAATGGTTCTTAGCAGGTGCGTTCGTCCCTTCCCGTGCGTTTCTCGAATCTCTAACTTGATTTTCCTGATCAATTTTCCTTTCGTTTTTCTAGCTCCCATTGTCTCTTCTTTAGTGAATTTGTCGTCCCTCCCCGCCCCTCCCCACCCCCCCCTTCCTCCTCCCTCCCATTCCCTCATTGCGTCATTCCCCCCCATGGTGTTTGCTCTCCCCCCCTCCCCCTTCTCCCCCCCCTCTCTCTCCTCTCCGTGTTTTCTCCGTGCGTGTCTTATCTTTGCGCGCGCAGCTCGGCGGGAGCGGACTCCACAGAAGTGGACGAAGAGAGCGCCGCCAACGGCTACCAGCTGGTGAGTCTGGGGGGATCGGCTGGTGAGTTCAGTTGAGTGTTCCTGGAGACTTCTGGACGCCAGCTGTTTGCTGGTGAGTTTAGAGGTGTTTGTTTCGGATTGGTAACTTGGTAACACTTGCTGATCTGATTGTTTGGTTCCGTTCTGTTCCCCTGGGACGGCACGGTTGGGACGCTGCACGTGTGCTGCAGATGTTCTTTCCTCGGATCACAGTATGACTCACAGCTGCTGTAACTCGCCCTCTCTCGCTCTCTTGCGCCCGATCTCTCCTGATCTCTCCTGCTCTCTCCTGCTCGCTCTTTCTCGCTCTCTCGCGCCCTCTCTCTCGCGCTCTCTCTCGCTCTCTCGCTCCCTCGCATTCGCTCTCTCTCTCTCTCGCTCTCTCTCCCCTCTCTCCCCTCTCTCCCTCGTGCGCTCGGCAGGAGCTGCACGACTCCAGTAAACGAGGCCAGGGATCACCAGACCACAGTAAGGCCCTCTACGCTCTAGCCCTCTCCGTCCCCGCTCTCTCCGTCCTCACGCTCTCTCCGTCCCCACGCCCTCCCGCCCACGCTCTCTCCGCTTATTGCCTTTTTGTTGTACCACCGTATTCCATCTCTTCTCGCCGCTCCTTGTTCTCCTCATGATAATCCGCCTTGCATTGCGTTGTGCTGTGCGTGCCATTCTGCCCGCCTTTCCCCCTTGGTGCGTGCAGCAGCGGTGGTGGAGATGGCCCGGAATTGCAAAATAAGGATGATCACACATGTATCACCTGCCGTGTGGGAGTGGCGAAGTGAGTCGCCCTTCCGCCCTCTACCTCCCACCCTCCCGCCCGCTTCCGCCCTCACCTCCCAACCTCCCGCCCGCTTCCGCCCTCGCCCTTTCATCTTCACCATTCCTTCCTCACGCTTTCCGTCCGCGCATTGCACGTACATGCCTCACTCTCTTGCTCGGGCAGTCAACCGACAACCTGTTGCCATGTCCGCCTTCCCCCCTCCGTTCCTCCCTCCCCACCCGGCCAACCTCCGCCAGTCTTCTCGCTTACCCGCCTCTCTCTCTCTCTCCCCACCCGCTGTTCTTTGAGGCGCCTCAAGAATCGCTGCCGCTCCTCTCCTTTCCCTTCCTCTCGGCTCCCCTCCCCCCCCCCACCCTTCTCCCCCAACCCACTTCTTCCACCAGACGGAGTGCAGGAGCACGTGCCGAGTCAGATGCAGGGATTCGTGGAGAGCGTGCAAGAGGACAGCCCTGGCGCCTCCTTTGCCTCTCGCCATTCCTTCTTTAGACCAGCTGCTGCTGCCGCCTCAGCAGCTGCAGCTAGTGCCGGTGGTGCTGCTACTGGTGCTGCAAACGCAGCAGGATCGGCAGGGATAGGAGTGGGGCTAGGGCTAGGGTTGGGGGGAGGGATGGGGGGCGGGGGAGGGGGAGGGCTGAGCTCTGGGATAGGGGGGTCGGAACTACTGGCAGAAAGCAAGGGGGGACGGGGGGGAATGGGGGGAATGGGCGGGGTGGGGGAATCGTGGGAGGCGGACGCTGCTCTAGTGGCAGCAGAGGATCCGGTGGGGCGGAGGGCGGTGGGGGGAGGGGAGGAGGAGGGGGAGGCGGATGAGAGTGGGGCGCCATGCTTTGCGACTCTGAGGATCAACGCCACTGCTGTTGACCTGGAGGCTTATTATAATAAAGCGGTCAACTATACCCTCATGGTCACATTCGTGAGTTCCCTGCTTTGAGAATGATATAAAGTACTGTGTCTTGCAAGTCTAATTCCTCCTGAGGATCAACGCGACTGCTGTTGACCTGGAGGCACACTATAATAAGGCCGTCAACTATACCCTCATGATCACATTCGTGAGTCTCGCTCGCCACTTCATGTTTTGAGGTGCCTCGATTTCTATGAGGGTCGCAAGTAGACTGTGGTGTACTATTGGTCTGGAGGCATACGTGTCAGAATAATAAGGCAGTCCACGTCACGTTCATGGTCCCATTCGTGAGTCCCTTGCTGCTTCTGCTCCCCTGATCATCTGTGTGAAACTCCTCGCCATGTGCGTCTGTGCTGCTGCTGCTGCTGCTGCTGCTGCTGCTGCTGCTGCTTTTCCATGCATGCAGATCTCCTTCCTGCAAGTGCTCTTCATCATTCGCCAAATGGAGCACAGCAACACTCAATCAGTGCGTCCCGTTCCTATTACCATTCTTCCTATGCCCTTTTTTCACTTAGCGTACCTCTCCCCTTCTTCCCATGCCCCTTCTTCCCACGCCCCTTATTCTTATGCCCCTGCTCTGCTGTTCCTGCTGTGCTGCTCTTTCTGTTTCTATCCATCACCATTCTATTCTCCTCTCTCATCCGTCGCCACTCCTCTCCCTTCCATCCTCACCCCTCTCTCCTCTATCATCACCTCACCCCTCTCACGCATCCCCCCCTCCCTCCCCTTTTCTGCCTCCTCTTACCCCTCCCTCCTCCCCTCCCCGTCCTTTCTCCACCCGTTACAACAGGGAGCAGCCAAGGTATCGATGCTGATGGTGGGCCAGCAGGCCATCATGGATGTTAGGGAGAAGCATAAAATAACTGCTCGTTCTCTCCTTTCCCCCCTTCTCTCCCCCCCCTCCTCCCCCCTCCCCATCCTCCCCATCACCACAGGGAGCAGCCAAGGTATCAATGCTGATGGTGGGGCAGCAGGCCATCATGGACCTTCAGGCTGACGTTGAGAGTACTCGTGAATGCTCATAAGCCGTTGCTCTTTCTTGTCACTGTCTGCTGCATCACCATCACCATCACCACATTGCAGGGAGCAGCCAAGGTCTCGATGCTGATGGTGGGCCAGCAGGCCATCATGGACCTTCAGGCTGACGTTGAGAGTACTCGTGAATGCTCATAAGCCGTTGCTCTTTCTTGTCACTGTCTGCTGCATCACCATCACCATCACCACATTGCAGGGAGCAGCCAAGGTCTCGATGCTGATGGTGGGCCAGCAGGCCATCATGGACCTTCAGGCTGACGTTGAGAGTACTCGTGAATGCTCATAAGCCGTTGCTCTTTCTTGTCACTGTCTGCTGCATCACCATCACATCGCCACATTGCAGGGAGCAGCCAAGGTATCGATGCTGATGGTGGGGCAGCAGGCCATCATGGATGCGTACCTCTGCCTGCTGCACCTCACAGCCGGCATTGTAGTCGGTAAGTGAAGCTATCCTCGTTATAGTGTCTTCATGGTGTCCGTATAAGCACGCCTCCAGCGAGCCAGCCAGCAGGCCATCATGGATGCGTACCTCTGCCTGCTGCACCTCACGGCTGGCATCATTGTTGGTAAGCTGTTCTAGGACAGTCTGTAGCGTCACATGCTTACGACACGACAGCAGTTCTCAAGGTCGCCACGCCATGGTCTGGATATTTGAGATGCGCCATCTCATTGCCCCATGCCCGTTCCTTTCTTCGCAGTCCACTTCCCCCCTCTCTCTCCCTTACCAGCAGCGCAGTCCCTGTTCAACGCATTTGCAACAGCAGCATTCTTCAAGTTTGTAATCTTCTCAATATTCGAGATGCGCTACCTGCTCGCCATCTGGAAGGCTTTCCGCTCATGCCTCACTGTGCCCCGTGCCCTGTGCTGTGTGCCATGTTCCCCCCTGCACTGTTCCTTTCCCTCACCAGGAGCGGAGTCCCTGTTCAATGCCTTTGCCACAGCAGCCTTCTTCAAGTTTGTCATCTTCTCCATATTCGAGATGCGCTACCTGCTCGCCATCTGGAAGGCCCGCCGCCCCGCGCAGTCCTCGGAGAGCTGGGACCTCATGCGGCGCGAGTTATCGATCCTCTACTCGCGATTCTGTGAGTGCCGTGATCGACGGGAAGGAAGGAAGGTATCAGGTGGTTGAGTGACTGCAATACGTGTCCTCTCATGCGGGAGGGCTTGTCGCCCCGCGCAGTCCTCTGAGAGCTGGGACCTCATGCGGAGGGAACTGTCCATCCTCTACTCGCGATTCTGTGAGTGCTGAGTGTCTCGCTGGGACCTCATGAGGCGCGGCGCGAGCTATCCATCTTTTACTCGCGATTCTGTGAGTGCCTTGATTGATGGGAAGGATGGCATGAGTGGCTGACTGGTTGCATTCGGTGAGTTGCGAGTAGAGGCCTTATTGTCTTCGGCTTCCTCCTGAGCAGCAATCTCCTCTCCTCATCTACCGCTTCAGCACGGCCCTGCTCTACCTGCTGCTGCTCTTCTTCTCGCCCCTCACTCGCATTTCTTGTTCCCTTTGCAATCCTCTCCTTCCCCTCCCTCCTCCCCTCCCCCCCCTCACCTTCTCCCCCCGTTTCCCCTGTTTTCTTCCCTTCTGCTACCCCGTTTTCTCCCCTTTGCCAGACGGCTTCCTCCTGGGAGGCATTCTCCTCATCTACCGCTTCAGCACGGCGTTGCGCTACCTGCTGCTGCTCTTCTACTCCTTCTGGATCCCCCAGATAGTCACATCCGTTATAAGGGACTCGCGCAAGCCCCTCCACGTGCACTACATTCTCGGCATGTCCGTCACCCGCCTCGCCATCCCACTCTACATTTTCGGCTGCCCGAAAAACTTCATGCGTGTGGAGCCGAGTCCCGCGTGGTGCGCTGCCCTGATTGCGTTCATGGGGGCGCAGGTGGCGGCGCTGCTGCTGCAGCACTACCTGGGGCCTCGCTGGTTTATTCCCAAACAGGTGGGTGAATTGCTGGGGTGCACGGGTTTATTCCCAAACAGGTGTGTGGTTTGGTTGGACTGCTTAAGCTCGTGGAGCCGAGTCCCGCGTGGTGCGCTGCCCTGATTGCGTTCATGGGGGCGCAGGTGGCGGCTCTGCTGCTGCAGCACTACTTGGGACCCTGCTGGTTCATTCCCAAACAGGTAGGTTTCTGGCTGGATAGACCCCTGCACCCCACGCCCCCCGCATGCTCCCATGCTCCCATGCTCCCATGCTCCCATGCTCCCATGCGTCCAATTGCCACCCCCTGCAGTTCCTCCCTGAGAAGAACTCCTACTTTCGCCGCATCTCCTGCCGCCTCATGCGGCAAAGCAGTGACGCGGATGGCATGAACCCACATGCTCATGCTCATGCTCGTGCCCCTCACTCCCATGCCCCCATGCTCCCCGCCACCTTGCATCACCCCCCTTCCCCCCCCACCCCCTCCAGTTCCTCCCTGAGAAGTACTCCTACTTCCGGCGAGTCTCCTGCCTCATGCGCCAGAGCAGCGACGCGGATGGCCGTGATAGGCATGATGACCCATGCACTCCACGCCCCTCACATGCTCCCATGCCCCCATGCCCCCATGCTCCCCACCACCATCCCCATCCTTCCAGTTCCTCCCTGAGAAGTACTCATACTTCCGGCGAGTCTCCTGCCTCATGAGGCAGAGCAGCGACGCGGATGACAGCGGGCCAGCAGACTGTGTTATCTGCATGACGCCCGTGCCCATCACCTCCCACTCCATGGACCGCATGGTGAGTTGGATGGCTGGCATCGTTTGTTTGATTCAAGTCGCTCAAGCTCACGTCATGATCTGCATGACCCCTGTGCCCATCACCTCCCACTCCATGGACCGCATGGTATGACTGGCTGACCGCATGGAAGGATGGGCGGCTTGGCTTGGTTTGTCATATTTTAATCTCTATTAGATACAATCGTCATCTGCATGACGCCCGTGCCCATCACCTTGCACTCCATGGACCGCATGGTATGGGGATTGGCTTCTGTATGGCTTGCATGTTTTGACGTCTGCATGGCGTGGCATGGGATTCCCATTCGTGGCAACTCCCCCAAGCACTATTGTCATCTGCATCCCCATCACCCCTCACCCCATGAATCTTGACTCCTTGTACTGTAACCTGTCTTTCTATCTGTCACCCCCCCATGCAGGTGACCCCCTGTGACCACATGTTCCACACGGCGTGCGTGCAGCGCTGGATGGACATGTCACACACCCTCACTCTGTGTACATTGCATATGTTTCCCATTACCCCCCCCCCACCCACACCCCTCCCCCCCTCCCTCCCTCCATGCAGGTGACCCCCTGTGACCACATGTTCCACACGGCATGCCTGCAGCGGTGGATGGACATCAAAATGGAATGCCCCACCTGCCATTCCACATGGCTCATTTCCCTCTGTCCACATGCCGTCCCGCTGTGTGCATTGCATATTGCCCATCACCCCGTCCTCCCCCTCTCCCCCCTTCCCCCGCACCCCCCCCCCCCCCCCCCCCCCAATTCAGGTCACCCCCTGTGACCACATGTTCCACACGGCATGCCTGCAGCGGTGGATGGACATCAAAATGGAATGCCCCACCTGCCATTCCACATGGCTCATTTCCCTCTGTCCACATGCCGTCCCGCTGTGTGCATTGCATATTGCCCATCACCCCGTCCTCCCCCTCTCCCCCCTTCCCCCGCACCCCCCCCCCCCCCCCCCCCCAATTCAGGTCACCCCCTGTGACCACATGTTCCACACGGCATGCCTGCAGCGGTGGATGGACATCAAAATGGAATGCCCCACCTGCCATTCCACATGGCTCATTTCCCTCTGTCCACATGCCGTCCCGCTGTGTGCATTGCATATTGCCCATCACCCCGTCCTCCCCCTCTCCCCCCTTCCCCCGCACCCCCCCCCCCCCAATTCAGGTCACCCCCTGTGACCACATGTTCCACACGGCATGCCTGCAGCGGTGGATGGACATCAAAATGGAATGCCCCACCTGCCATTCCACATGGCTCATTTCCCTCTGTCCACATGCCGTCCCGCTGTGTGCATTGCATATTGCCCATCACCCCGTCCTCCCCCTCTCCCCCCTTCCCCCGCACCCCCCCCCCCCCCCAATTCAGGTCACCCCCTGTGACCACATGTTCCACACGGCATGCCTGCAGCGGTGGATGGACATCAAAATGGAATGCCCCACCTGCCATTCCACATGGCTCATTTCCCTCTGTCCACATGCCGTCCCGCTGTGTGCATTGCATATTGCCCATCACCCCGTCCTCCCCCTCTCCCCCCTTCCCCCGCACCCCCCCCCCCCCCCCCCCAATTCAGGTCACCCCCTGTGACCACATGTTCCACACGGCATGCCTGCAGCGCTGGATGGACATCAAGATGGAATGCCCCACCTGCCGCCGCTGCCTCCCCCCCGTCTGATCCCCCTCCTCCCTCTCCACCGTCCTCCCCCGTATCTGGTACTCCCCTCTCTCCACCGCTCTACTCCCCACGGAGCTCCTTTACACCACCTCCCTCCGGCCATCTTCCACTCTTCATCGGCGTCTCATCCAACCATCGTCCGCTCATCTGTGCGCTCCCACCATCAACTTCGCGTGGAGGAGTGTAGAAAGGTTGCGATCCACCTTGGTGGATCCAACACACGGCACGAGTTATGGGAGGCTACAGGCTGTGATTTGGCCTCTAAAGAGGCACAGTAGCGCCTGCTTGTTGCTGTAAAGGGAGAGTAGTGAAGCAGCATCAGCTTGTTGCTGATGCATTAGCTTGTGTAAAGGGGATGCTTTTATTGTTTGAAGTAGGAAACAAGAAATGCTGAATTGTCTTCAATCAAGCAATAATACGTTAGGCTTGATCCCGGTATTTGCAAGGCTATTTTCAATATCAATAGAGAATAGGGTTAGTGTAATACTGGACGTGACAAGGGGTCTTGGTGATGCCAGGTTGGCATCATGCCTCCACTCCACGATTTTAGACGGACAACACAGTCTGCCCAGCCAACGACCTGTGTTGATGTCCTCAGATTTCGTTCAGATTTCCTCATCTGTGGCAAGTCCAACAGTGCCACCTCTAGGACGTTGCCATTCATCCAGGTTGCCAGCGTTGAGAATTCTGGAACTTCTGGATCTTTGAAACATTAAAGCCGCGGTGCAGATATCTCTGCGCCAGTTCAAAGTATTATAGCTTGAAGGGCGCGTTACCCAGTATACACTGGAAGTCGAGCAGGCAGAGCTTTCTGAGATCGGGGGAAGGTCGTGCGGAAAAGTGCCTCGCAACATGATGAGTGGGGGGGAAGTTGGGGAGGGCTTGCGGAAAAGCACCGCACAACAGCATGAAGGGGGGGCCAGGCATCAAACTTGAAACTTGAAACTTGAACTCAAAACTACTCGAACTCGGCAATTTCTCGCGCTAGGCTAGGTTACTACTAACTTGAAGTGCCTTCCCGTAGGGCTACTGAGAGCCATTCGCCTCAGATCTATCTCTATTCTTCGCCTCTTAGTGTGCGCTCGAATATCTGCGCTATTTCGTACCTCAAAAAACACCACGGCAGTCGTACCCGTAGCGCATTGCGCTAGATTTCCTCCGCTGTCGTCGTTCAGTTTTCCCTCTCCCGTCCCTCTATTTCTCACGAATCCGCGGTGGCAAGCAGCGACGATGGCGACAGGCAGGATTGGGTGCGACGGTAGCCAGCAGCGGGGCGACGATAGCGAGCAGAGCGGCGACGGTAGCGAGCAGGGTTGCGATGGCAGCGAGCAGGGTTGCGACGGCAGCGAGCAGGGTTGCGATGGTAGCGAACAGCATGGCGACAGCAGCGCAATGACGATAGTGAGCAGCGATAACGACAGTAGCGAGCAGCGGGGCGACGTTAGCGTGCAGCAGGGTGTCGTTAGCGAGCAGCGGGGCGAAGCATCTGTTCCGACGGTGGCGAAGCATCTCGCGTCCAAACCTCGCAAGCGGCTTTAGCGAGCGATATTGGTAGCGATGCGGCGAAGGCAAGGGTAGCGAGCAGACAGGGCCGGAATGGGAGAGGAGGACAGGGGGAAAGGGTGGGAAGAGCAGCGATGGATGCTATAGGCCCCTGTCCTTCTTTCCCTTTCCCCCACTCCTTCTATCCCTTCCCCCCTGTCCTTCCCTCCTTTCCTCCATGTCCTTCCCACCCTTTCCCCCTGTCATTCTCTCCCTTTCCCCTTAGTCCTTCCCTCCCTTTCATCGTTTTCGTTCCTCCTGATGCTTAATCCTCCCCCCTGTTCTTTCTGCCCTGTCCCCCTATCCTTCCCTCCCCTTCTTCTCCCTCCCTCCTTTCCCCTCTCCCAACCCACTGCTCCCCCCTGCTCTCATCCGTCCCCTTGCCCCCATTCGTCCCTTTTCCCCCACTACCGTCGCTTCTTTTCCTGCTCATTTCCCCCTTTCCTGAACCCTTCCTTTTCCTCTCTCACATCCCTTCCCGTTCCCACTATCCCATCCCACCATTCACCCTTCTGATGGCCATCCCTTTCCCTCCTCCCCTGTCCCTCCCCTGTCCTATCCCATTCCCCCTGTCGCTTTCTCCTTCCCCCTGTCCTATCCCATTCCTGTCCTAGTTCAAGCGTGAGAGATTGTTTGTTCCAGGGCATTCCCCCCTGCCACCATCCCCCATGGCACATCCTCCTATGCCACACCTTCGGTTTCACGCCTCCCCATTCCCGAACTCCCCTTGTCCGTCGATACCTTGGCCTCTTGCCCTTCCCAGGAGGCAGGATTGGGCGCGACGGTAGCAAGCGGCTCGATCCCACCGTCTCTCCACCACCAATCCTCCTCTCCCCCACTCCTGCCGTCCCTCCTTTCTCCCGTTACCGTTCAAACCTTCCCCCCGTCCCCGTCCCTCCTTCCATCGGTGTCCGTCCCTCCTTCCCCCACCATCCACCCTTTACCCTACCCTTGTCCTTTCAAGGCATCCCCCGATTCCTAAACCCTTCCTTTCCCTTTCTCCCATCCCTTCCCTTTCCCCCTATCCCATCCCACCATTCACCCCTCTCCCGGCCATCCCTTTCCCCCTCTCCTGTCCCTCCCCATTCCCCACATCCGACCCTTCCCTTTCCACTATGTCCCCTCAGCCAATAGTTTCGCTTTGCCACTGTCCCGAGCCCATCATACCTCAGTTCCCATCCTGCAAGCGCGGTAACTGTGAGCAGCAGCAGCGAGCTGATGCAATGATGGCGGTGTGCAGTGATGTCAAGTGGCGACGGTGGCAGCCGTGACGACATCCAACCCTCTGCTCCACCGCTCCCAACTCCGCTGCTTCCCTTCGCCCGCCCCGCTGCTTCCCTTCACCCACCCTACTACTTCCCTTCACCCACCCCACCACTTTGAACCTTCGCGCACCCCACTGTTTCTGCCAACCCTCCATTCAATTTCCCCATCGAACATTTTTAACTTCTACGGCTGGTGTCCTTCCCTACCCCCCTCCCCCCTGCTATCGGTGAACAGCTGCATCAATAATGGATCAGAGGGGTGTGAAGTTTGGCTCATCTTGGAGATGCCATGTAGGATTTAAAGACACTCATGTTTGCCTGCCATGTGTACATTCGTTGCACCCCAAAATAAAAAAAGGAAACAACCACCCCAAACTTTGATCTTTCTGAAATCCTCGAATGTGCCTTTGATTCGCAGAATATGATATTTGTGTGGTACTTGGATGATTTGAAATACAAAATCTTTCGTTATGCAATGTAGAGATGACGGCGTATTCATGGGTTCCGATTTTCGCGTTGTCGTGTGTGTTCCCCCCTTCCCTCCCCCCACCCCTTCCCCTTCCCCCTCACTTTCGAGGTTCGCGAGGTTCGCCTCAGTTGTTTCCTTTTTCTCTTCATCGCAACACAATCTACTCTCTCGCTAGCCAATTGGCGACCAGGAAGGAACAAGACAAAAAACTGTTTGTCACTGTTCCTAAGATATCTGCACCGCGGCTTTAACCCCCCCACCCCTGCATTTATTACTACTTTACAAAGTGTGCTATTTAGCAGGCGCTTAGAGGTCCCCATACAACCGAAAGTGTGCTATCAGTAGGATTTCACCGACAACCGCCCACACATTTCAAGCCCTCGGTCAGGGAATTGATTGGACCCAGTTCTCTTTGGGCAGAATGGGGCGGAAACTGGAAATCTCGAGAATGACGGGGGAATTTGTGATACAACAGTAGAGTACAACATTAAAGCGACGGTGCACATTTGCCACCCAAAACCCAGAACCCTGGCGAACTGTTACTGCGGATGGAAAGTGTCCGCACGAAATCCTGGTTTTCGCCAGCCAGCACTTTCGCGCTGGCAAGCCTGGTTCAAAAAAAAAACTTCTGAACCCAACACTGCCAAAAGTTGCCCGTCGCTTTAACGCGTTTACGCGGTTCTTATGAGCAATGCACCTAGCTTCTGTTCTGTGAGTTAGCAGTGGACGGTGATGTCGTTAGTTGAACAGATATTTCCGCCATTTATGGCGCGGCGAATAAGTGTCGCTAGCTGAGCACCAAACTACACAGGCTGCGCAATTTCACTTCACACCCTGACATGTTTTGTTCATGAGGAACCCTAACATTTTTACGGTTTTATCAACCAGACTTCCAGAAGCGAGGGGCTATTAGTGAAGCTGTTATGGATCGATGTCGCAAAACTCCCACTTAAGCGGATTCTTGTTGCGACCCAGTGCGTCGGCCGATTTTCGTCACGATTCTCTTTGCGTCCTCCTATCAAAACAAAACCCTCTGTAGAGAGCTCTCAGTTTCAGATGAAAATAGGATGTTATGAAAAAGGCGCAACTGCATATGTACGTGGACACTTACAGAACAATGAAGACTCAAATGATGACCTCGACAGCGTGGATGGTTGGGTGGTGCGTCGTTCGTACAGTGTGAAACAAGGTTCCCCCAATGGGGGATTTGGTAGGAAGGGATTCCTACAACACTTGGCCCCGGAAGGACAGCTGGAACATACGACGTCGGAGGAATCGAATTCTCCAAGTCACAATACACCGTAGGGTAGTACACCGTAGGGTCTCAGAATTTTGATGGCAGAAAATCCTCCGCACGTGGATTGTGTGTAGGGTGTGGCCGCGTCGATCATTTCCCACGAGTGGCGGCAGCGGGCACAGGCACAGACACTTGGAAAAATGAGGGAGGTCAGGTCACACACAGCTCACTTACAGCTCATGTACATCACTGTTCATGAGGGTAAATAGCGGTCCAAAGCGGCGGACTGAATTAGCACCTCTAGAGTGCACAACACCGTAGTCGACCGCTTTGATTGAACAAAAATGTGTCCCGCCCTGAGCCCTCCCTCTAAGTGCATCTTTCCCCCCCTTCCTCCCTAATGCGAGGAGCCCACAGATCATCCATTTTTAGGTCAAGACTCACAAGCAAGCTCAGCAATTACGCGTAGTCCTCCGAAGGCGGTGACAATGCCGTCCGTCTGCGATTTAGTCAAATTAACCTTGAGCAATTAAAGGCGGGGTGCAACTTCTTAGGAACAGTAGCAGGACAAACATGGAGTGTGCGTAACGAGACCCTTATTGGATGAAAAAAATGGAATCTCGGAAAAGACAAACTTCTCGCCACAGAACTGCCTGGGACAACCAAGTTCCAAGCTATAATACTTCGAAGTTGAAGCTGATAGTTGGGCCACGGCTTTAATTCATGTTTCTCGCCTTTAGAACTCACGCGTACCTGCAGGCTGATCTTGTTTGATTTTAAATGGCTAATTCAACCATACCGAACCTATATAACCACCCCAAGCCGTGCTCTTCTCCCAGCGATGTTCTTAACACCGAAGCCACAATAGCGCGAAACAGGGTGTAGTTAGTTTCTTCCTCCAGCTGCGGCGACAATGGCGTCCGCCGGAGGTTCAGTCGCACGTGCGCATCACGCTCGCTCCTCTTCGGCGACCGTCGCGGTTATCCCAGCTGAAAGATTCGCAGTCCTGTCGTTTCCGCCGTCTCTAGGAAATTCCACCGTTTCGTCCCCCGCAGCTGCGCCTGTCGGTGATCCCGCAGCCAGACTCGCGGAAAGCGCGGCCTCGCCGTCCGCGTCTCCGTCCGCCAGACCCGCGGAAGCGCAGGCGGCGGGGGCGACCGTCCCCGTCGCCGCCGCGGCCGGCGGCGAATGCGCAGCACAACCAGGTTCAACGACAGAACCACTCGCCGCAGCTCCGCTCCCCGTTCCTAGATCTATTAGTAGTAAAGACGGCAAGTGCGCGGAGTCGGCGAGTCAATCCGACGGCGCCGGCCATGGCGGCTGCGTGGCGTCAGAGCCTGCGCCGCGCGCCACCACGTCTAATCCTCCCTCAAGCTACGGGCTGTCGCTGCAGCAGCTGCAACATCTCGTCGCGCTCACAAACGCCAACGACAGCCCGCGCGACGTGGCCGCAGCCTTCCCGTACGCGGCGACGAGCGACGGGCGGCCCGGGCGAAGCCGCCTGTCGATGAACTCCGCGCAGCGGCGCCTCGACTCGTGGAATCGCGCGCGGGAACCCGTGGTGGAAAACAGCATCGAGTATATCCGCGCGCAGCGGAAGCTCAAGCGGAGCGGAAGCGACCCCTCGTTACGGCAATCCGCGCGCGGGGGGGAGGATAGCATGGGCGGCCCGTCGCGGCCGCTAGAGGGCGTCGTTTCGGAGGCGCGGAAAGTTGCGATGCGCCGGTGGCTCCGCCGGTCGCGGAGCGCGCACACGTTGGGGGAGAAGGACACGGCGGCGCGCTGGAACGAGGCGATGACGGCCATCATCTGGGGGCGTGGCGGCGCCGTCGTTTTTAGACGGCCAGCCGGCGGGAGTTCGCAGGCGCGGCCGTCAGGGGGCGAACGGTTGGGGAACGGCAGCACGCGGAGTGCGCCGGCAGGAAACGCGGCGCGATACAATTCAGACTACGCGTTAGGAATACATTTCAGAGTAGCGCACGGGGGGAGAAATGGCGGTCTCGTGCAAATAGCATCAGGGTCATCATCACCATCATTGTCACGATCACCATCAGCAGAAGCAGCAGCAGCAGCCGCAGCCACAGCAGCAGCAGCAGCCGCAGCGAGAGCAGCAGCAGGAGCACGGCACATGAGCGCAGGAGATTCCAGAGTACACCCTACGGAGAAACTCTGTAGATTACAAATTTCAGGTGCGGTACCAACGAGTTCAGAAGATCAGAGCAGAGTGCAGCAGCAGCATCAGTTACAGCTGCAGCAGCAGAGGCAGCGGCAGTGGCTGCAGCACCGGTACCAGCAGCAGCAGCTGCTGCAGCGGCAGCGGCAGGCCGCTAGGGATCCGGTGAAGTCGGTGTTTGCATGGGCTGCAGAGCAGAGAATGGCAGCGCGACGCGCGGATACAGCCCAGCCGTGAGATGCGTGGCGGTTGGGTACGGTACGGGGGAGGGACTTTTTGAGTCAGCTCAAAAGGGACCCGGTTAAGTCGGTGTTTGCTTGGGCTGCTGAGCAATGAACGGCAGCGAGGCGGGCGGATAATGCTCAGCAGTGAAAAGATGACACAGAGGATACTACAGATCCCTAGATAATCGGCATCACTAGAGCATACAGACCTCTAGAGAAGTCGCATCACTAGAGCACTCGGATCCATAGAGTATGGATTGCTAGAGCTCATGGATCGCTATGGGTCACTATAGCGTGCGGATCCTTACAGAGTATAGATTTTCAGGTTTGATGACGAGTTTGAGATTGTAAAGCAAGGTACTGATGGTTTGTGACTTTACCCTAACGTGAGTGAACCATCCATGTGAATGCTATACGATACGTTCAGTTCAGTTGTCTTTAGAGTTGGACATTCAGAGCAGACACGCCAATATAGCAGAGAAGTGTGGTGTGTAACCAAGCCAGCAACGGTTAAAGATGCATGCCGTTACAGGGAGATAAAAAACAACAGCTGCGCTTTCAGCGGAATCAGCGTGTTTTAGACTGATAACTTAGAGCCTGGTGCTGCTCCTTTCAGTGAGGGAAATCTGGCTTTGAAGTTATTGTGGGAACTGTATATGTTTCCTAGCGGGAGCCAACAAAAGGGTATGAAATCATCTTTTATTGCACTTGATGAACGCGGCTCGCAGATTCTCACGGATCGCCAATTTGGCTGCACGGAACTCGAGAATTTTGCTCAAATCCGCGAAAGCGCGGATCGTTTTATTTTCGCCACGTGGCAAGCCTTCGATCCCGCGAACCGCGATCTGTTTTATTGTTCCCACAAAGTTCAAGAGAAACTTAGTTAAGTTTTGAAACGCGCTGCCCGCGGGCAAAAATAAAACCCATTCGGGCATGGCATGCGTTAGGGAGGCATCAACCCTAAACACCTTGCCTCTATGTGTTTAGGGTTGATGCATCCCTAACGCATGTTTTTCCTATAGGGGTTTTATATTTGTCCGCGGGCAGGGCAGTACATGTGATTCACTAAGCCTAACTATATTTCTCTTAAAAATTGTGGGAACAATAAATCAGATCGCGGTTCCCACGATCGAAGGCATGCCACGTGGCGAAAATAAAATGAACCGCGATTTCACGGGATTGAGCAAAACTCTCACGGAACTCGAATGTCGATGAATGCAAACATTTCGTGCCTTTGCCAGTCGTGCCTTTTCGCAGGTCGAGCTGAGAGGACCAAGAACATGAGCTGGCTGGATATGGCTATGCAGCAACTCATGGGAGAGCACTCTTTGTCCGCCGAGAGGCTATTCGTTGCTCAGCAGCCCAAGCAAAAACTGATCTCACGGAGTCCCTGTCCACCCGCTGCTGCTGCTGCTGCTGCTGCTGCTGCTGCTGCTGCTGCTGCTTCAAGCGGCTCTGCGGCTCGTTTCTAATAGTCGTCACAACCCGAGTCTGGATACCATACGAATCTTCCGTGAGAAGAACCGTGCGAGCAAAACTTCCGTGGTAGTTGGCCGGATGCGCTGTGCGTTCACCACGGCACGCGTGATCATGATCATCATGATAGCAGTTCGCCGCTTGCGCCACGCGTGCATTTAATGAGGCCGAACTCCATAGCCGCCGGCTCAGCGCCGATGGTTGCGACGCGACTGACGCGGACAGCGGTGTCTGGCACAACGGACTGGGCCGACCTCGGCTTGTCACCGCTGCGTTCGTCGCTGCGTTCACCGCGCAGAGGAGCGGCGCGCCTGCACGAACAGGGTCGGTCGAGCTCGCAGTTGATGCGATCTGCTGCCTGCTGTCCCACCCGTGACGATCATGGTCGTTCGATGACGGCGTTGCGCCTTCTGGCCGTCTGTAGATGACTGCTCCCCCGTGCCGCCAGATAAGCGCAGTCATGGCGTCGCTCCAGAGCAAGCCCGTGCCCTTTTCGCCCAGCGCGTGAGCGCTCCGGGAGCGGCGGAGCGAGTGGCGGAACGCCTGCTTCCGCGCCTCTGAAACGACGACTTCCAGCGGAAGCGCCGCTTGCTTTCGGCTATCTGAGGACTCCTTCTGCTTCAACCTTGTCAGCGAGGGCTCGCTTCTGCTGCGTCTAAGCCGCCGCTGTGGGCGAATATTCTCACGGCTGTATTCAACCACGCCGGGCTTGCTCGCGCGATTCCATGCGTCGAGTCGCCGCTGCGCTGAGTCCAGCGACAGCCTGCGACTTTTGCGATTATGAGGCCCGTCGCGCAACGACATGCCCGAGAAGACAGAAGGACTGCTCGTGTCGCGCGGGCCGTCGCGGGCAGCAGTGAGCGCGATGAGATGTTGCAACTGCTGCATTGACAGCCCGTGTCTTGCGGGCTTAGTTGATTGGGTCTCCGGTTGCGCGCTTTGGCGCGCGCAGGGGGCGTTGTCAGGAGAGAATGCGGTTCTTTCTGGTTGCGGCATATACCATAGAGAGGGAGTGGTCGGAGGCGGCAATGAGTTCGGGGCGCTTTCCGCAAGTCTGGTCACACTACCGCAGACAGCGGGACTTGCGGGCGACTGTGAGAGTAATACGAACTGCTGAGCCGTGGTAACTACGAGAGAGCGAAATGTAGCTGTGACAGAACGACTATTGCAAGAAGCAAGACTGTCATAAGTTCCTGCAGAAGCCATTGTTGCTTCTTCTGAATGGGGGAGGCCTGAGATCGAAGTGAGAGGGCACGACTCGCCTATTTGTGCTCTCATCGTCGCCACCAGCTGTGGAATTGCCTGGCAAATGGGAAGCGACACGCCCTGGTGGCTTGGCTTTGCCTCGGTTACCCTCTGAAATGTTGTTTCATCAAATTGCCATTTTTGCCCAAGGCCGGGGTTCGATGTGTGGAGTTGGCGGAGCGGGAAACCAACTGCTTCGAATGGCGGTGATACGCATCTGCTACGGATTCGCGGCAGATTCTTCTCGCATATCTGCGGGGATTGATAAAAAAAAGTTATTTGGGAGCTTAATTTTGTTATTTATACTGTTGAGTGAACTTTATATACCAGCTAAGAATGTCTAGTTGATTTATCAAATCATAACTGATGATATCATACTTAATTTTAAATACAAAATTATTGTATAGTGAGGCACTAGTTTTCACTGAGTCTGAAAATCGCCAAATGTGGTTTAAAATGTGGAGTTATCAAATAGACTTTCTTTCCCTAAAATAAAAATGTATGAACATTCAAGCATTATTGATGTGGTACTAGTTTTTTCCTGGCCCAACCTCTCAGACGTGCTCCAATTCATGTTTTCGTGGATACTATTGCGTCCACTGTTCAGCTCCACCACACTACAGTACAGTTGCAACCACGTGGGCATTCCTTGAGAAATTACTTCCCCGCGAATGTTGAATTTTGGCGGTGCTCCCCCAAGCCTTAGGGCGTGCAACACAGGGTCCGCGGAGCGCCTGGTCCGCTAATCAGTTGCTGGATTAACGAACCACGCCCGAACCACGTCCAACACGGTTCTCGCGGACTGGTCTGAGGGACTAAAATAAATTCCTCTGATTTTCCGTCGCAGACCCGCAGACTGGCTCGGACCAAGGCGTACGTGGTAACCAGATGCTGTACTTGCCTGGCCCTCGAGCTGGTTCACAGCTGGTCCACCCTCGTCCGCAGTACACTGGTCTATCCTCGTCCGCGGACCTTCTAGGCAAAAAATGCATTTGCTGGCGGGAAAAACGAAGCAGGGCGACATCTAATACGAACCCAACCTTCTCTCAAACGAAAACCAGAGCAAAAAAATGGGTAATGGTACTGCTGGGACGAAACCAAACAAGTCCTTTGACACCAACTGCCTCAGGGTGCGTTCTTAGCCTGTGTCAAGTTTCCTGACACAGGGCTATCGACGGCTCCGATTCGTTCCACGTCATCATCAATCAAATCCAAACCCTTCACAGCTTCATGTCAGCCTGCCTGACACAGGCTAAGAACGAACCCTCACTCAGTCCTGTCCATACCTTTGCCTCCCGCAGCTCGAACATATGTGAAGTTCCAGAACAGACCCAACCAAACCCTATGTTTTCCGTACTCGCCCAGGAGGTCACTGCTACCAATCATGGTTATATGATAACATGCTCACCACACCTCCCAGTAACCACGAGCCAACAAATCTTCAAAGGCGCTTTCTGTTTGGCATGTACGATCAGCTAGGGAGTGTGATAATGGAGGTATAGAATCGTTGATCTACCACGATGAACTCCTCATTTCAGGTCGTTGGTTCAAGTCCGAATGCTTGCACAATCTCTCAACCCCTCCGCTCGTTCTCTCCCAAATGCTGCCAAAGGAGAGGAATCACGTGGCATGTGGTCACGCAGAACAGCTGGCATGTTGTCTCTAGAGTTTTCTGGGTTGATGAAATGACATCAGCGTACCAGATCATCAGTGCTGGCAGCACTTGCCAACAAGTGGACGAAGCATCGGCCGTCAAAATATGCTAGTCAGCTTATCGAATCATCTTTGTAACGGAATAGTAGCCTTCGGAATATGGCATGTGAGCCAGAGGCGGCATGGCGCACGTCGACTGAAAAAGGGATGATGAAGAACGTATTACTACCCCATTCGTGAGTACCAAGCACCTCTTGACACCAGACACTGTCAACGACATTGAGCCCACCTCACTCACCTACTATCAAGCGCCGGCTTAGCACTGTGTCATTTTTCTTTCAAACCCGTGTCAAACTTCGCA